GGTGTCTTCATGTTTAATTAATGTATCTTAAGTGTTTCTAATGTTCATACATGATTTACAAACATCTTGGCATCAAGAGACTTATCCAACAACTCAAAAGGTACGTGAAAGACACCTCATGCGACAAACAGACCGATTGTTAAGTAAGCTTCGAAGAAGCCACTACCCAACTTCGACTGGTTGTCTACTGTTCACGACTGGTCGTCTTCTATTTTATTTTGAAAAGTTCCAACAATCCTCCACCATTTTCAAAATATGTCAAAACAAAACTTAAGTAAAACTTTTAAAATGTTTTGAAAACATGTATATAAAAATTTATTGAGTAATTTTCTTGAAATCCTTATGTAGAAACTAATATGTCTTTTGGACTTAAATCTTAGGTTTGTGAAGATACATGAAAGTTAATCAAGATGGCTAAGTAAAATTGCTTTGAACTTGCGATCTTATATGAGTAACAGACATACCTTCACATACAAATCTTTGAATCCCTTTATGTGTTTCAATTGACCGACACGTGGATTGGCCTTGTGTCTATACCCACTTTCTTGAGTGCTTTAGAGACTAGTCCTAAGTCACATAGAAGGTAGCACCACCCTTAACACTCATATAGGTAAATATGTAGTAACCTTGTAACTAAGTACTTTCAATTCTATATGGCAAACAGGTTGTGTTTGCTGTGTTCGGGCCAACCTGCTTTTCTTAATGGGTTGACAGGACATGACCTGTTAAGTTAATGGGTGGAAAGTACCTGGCACGAACATGACCCATTATAATTCGTGAATGATACGAAACTACACATTAAGAATAAATAAATAAAAAGATAAAAAATAAATAGATAAACCAAAGGAAAAAAATAGTCAAACACAACTACTCTTGTAATGAGCGTCCCCTATGTCTTCCTCCCCTAATTTCAAAAACCCATAACCACCACCACTCAAGAAAGGGCCTTTGATCTCTGCCATTATCGATTTGCATTTTTCCACAACAAAAAATTCAAATCTTGCCTCAAATATCTTAAGCAAAATAGTAGCATTTCCATGGGAGTATAGCGTCGTAGTAGTAGTAGTAGCCTTTAACAAGTTAACGTCAATTTGCGAATGACACTGACACGATCCGTTAACTTAACCGGTGTCTAATGAGTCCACCCATTCTTAACTAGACTACTAGTAGTTGTTGTTGTTGTTGTTATAGTAGTAGTAGTAGTAGTAGTAGTAGTAGTAGTAGTAGTAGTAGAGAGAGAGAGAGAGAGAGAGAGAGAGAGAGAGAGAGAGAGAGAGAGAGAGAGAGAGAGAGAGAGAGAGAGAGAGAGAGAGAGAGGGGTGGAAGATATAGAAATTTACAAAATACCCATGCCTTTGACGGGTTAACATGGATTTGCAAATGACATTGACACGATCCGTTAACTTAACCGGTGTCTAACGGGTCCACCCGTTCTTAACCCAACTCGATAAGTCCAACCCGAATACTGATTTTTTCTTGTGAATTTGTGTCGTGTTAGCGAATCGTGGACAATATTGCCAGGTCTACTTTCAATTTTTGTTTATTAAGAGTCGTAACTCAACCTTTTTCCTACACTACAGTTACCAAACATTGTACCTTGGATATAAAATATACAAGTAGTGTTCCCATGTTCCTAGAATGTACACTTAGTGCTTGCAACCACAATCATATAATGTACTTGTCTCATTGAACTCAAGGACTTGATGTTTCAAGTGTTGAGTTGAGTTTTCATCATTGGTGACTTTGTGAAATGGACTTTAATACAATCCCTTGTGAGTTCTAACCATCAATGATGAAATGGACTTTCATGAAAATTCTTTAGTTATTGAATCCGCCAGATTTTGACATGTTATTACAAAATTGATGGTTAGAACCCATCACTTATCAATTGACTCACATAACTGTGTCTTAGACCAATGTGTCTAGAATTTCCATTATATACTTGGCAATAAGCCTTTGATAGTGTTGTTTGACTATCACAATGTATAGAGATAAGAGGCATTGACTTTTGCCATAATGGTATATCTATCATTAGATTTATAAGCCATTCTGCTTTTTTACTACAAGAGGCTACAGCTACATGACTCAACTGCCATGATGGAATCTGAAATGTATGTATGTTTCTTTGAGCCCCAAGACATGGAACCTCCACCAAGTGTGAAAATCTAGCCACTTGTGGATTTATGATCTTCATAATCATTTATCCAAGGAAATCCATCTTGCTGTAGTACGTGAGTTGTCGTCAAGATATTCCTGGAAGCCTTTAAATTGCTGATTCTCACTTCCCGTACCTCTCTAGGACTTATAGAACCTTGGCTGTGACTGATGTTTATGATTTTGATTCTACCAGATACAACGACATAATTACATGCAGTCATATGAAAAGATTTATGAGAATCAATATATTTTATTGTGTTTAAAACAGCCCTGCACAAATGATTAAAAAAATATTATCAATATTAATTATTATGTAATTCATATTTGAGAAAAAAAGGAAAAAAAGAAAGAAAAAAGAAGTGAATAATTAATACCTAATATTGTCGCGCCAACACCCAAGTAGCAAATGAGATTTGCCCATTCTCACCTCTGCTTTCACATAATTCCCATCACCAATAATATTGTCGAACCATTCGTAGCATAGAATCCAAAAACTTTATGGTTTAAAGTATTCAACGAAATGGGTCTTTAAAATTCTTTCGTAATGTAGCCTTCTGGTGCAGTCATGTATATCCTTCCAAAATCATAGGATATCCATTATACCAAATTCCTTAACATTAAGGTATTTTGATATTCTAGATTTTGCATTTCGATGTAATTGACTACGATTACTTGTAAACCTACTAAGTTTACTCACAACATGCATTTCAAAGATTATAAGAACTAGATTATAAGAATTTCGTTGTTGTGTTTACAACTTCTAAATCAGTTCCAAAGATTAACATATAATTTATGTATAAGTTAATGATAACTCATTTTCCATTTTGAAACTTGCTATAAACACACTTGTCTTAATCATGTATTTGAAAACCATTGGATACAATCACCTTATCAGACTTTTCATGCCATTGTTTTAGTGCTTGTTTTAAAGCATATAATTATTTTATTAACTTGCACACCTTGTGTTCTTGTGCAGGCATGACAAAACCCTCCGGTTGATGCATATAAATCTCTTCATCTTTATTCACCATTTAGGAATGTTGTTTTGACATCCATTTGATGAATTTCAAAGTAGTAAAGAGATGTTAAGGCTATGAGAACTCTTATGGTTCTTGTTCTAGCAACTGGAGCATATTTATCAAAATAATTTATGCCTTCCTTTTGTGTAAAGCCTTTGGAAACTATAGCAATGAGGGCACATTCGATTGAGGGGTTTGACGTCTGAAACATTGTTTTCCAATCAACTTCGTCTCTTTGTGTCCATGTAGCACTAATCGAGCACTTGTCCAGTTTCCATCAACGGTCACACCGTTCCATCTTTTCATGTATAAATAAACTTTCCTTAGTGTCAATTAGAAGAACTACTACATTAGTTGCCTCTTCTATCTCTACCCTTTCCAACAAAATGGATTACAACCTTATTGATTCTATCCCTTGAGAGAATGGCCTATCAACCTTCTTTGGTACTCTGATGTAGAATGACTTATCAACCTGCTTGGAGGCAATTATTTCTATGTGCAATAAATTGCATATCAAGATTGAATGTGATGAGTTTGGGGATGGGAAAAAATCTGCAAGGATGGAGTTTGAACTTAAGTGGATCTAGGATTAGATTAGAATTGCAAGATTAATTGAAAGTGACTGCTTCCATAGCGATGGGGGCACATCATTTGAGAGGTTCAATGCAGAAGGACCTATCAACCTGCTGGTTGGAAGCACTTAGTTCTATGTGAAATAACTTGCATACCAAGGTTGAATGTGATGAGTTGGTGGCTACGAAAGGAACCTATAAGGATGGAGTTTGAACTTAAGTGGATCCAGGACTCCATAGCGGTGGGGGCACGTCGTATGAGGGATTCAATGTATGAAGCATTGCTTCCCCAATCAAGTACTCCGTCTCTTTGTGTTCACGTAGCATTGATCGAGCACTTTTCCAATTTCCATTAACGGTCACCTCGTTCTATCTTTTCATGTATAGATAGACTTCTGAACAAACGAACTTGTTATCTTAATTTCCCACTTTTATTCTTTCGTGCTCGCACACACGTTAGTATGACTTTAATCAAAATTAACTACGAAAAAATGCAACAGTAAACAACTTTGTAGTAAGACAAATTTTTTTTTTTAATCAAATAGAAACTTCATTAGATAAACTTCAACGGTACAATCAAAAACATCTAAAATACCAATCCCAAGAGAGCAACAAACTAACTTGCTAAAAGCAAAACTAACGATGACAAAAGCCGCACTAAAACTACTAGCTCACATCACCACAATTAACCATAAGTCCAAACAAAGCCTACAAACCCAACCCTAAATCAACCCATGAGCCTAAACAAACCCCACTACCACCACTTGAAGAAGCGCCGTCCTGGCCACACCCACCACCGCATCCGTAACAGATCTGGGGAAAATATGATTTCCAGCGATCTACCTGCGCATATGAGCGAATAAATAAAAGAAAACAATAATTCTGCCAAAGAACAATTGGGTGATTTGCAGCAACCTCCGTCATTTGAGCGCATCTCATTTGAGTTATTTCATTTATTATTTTTTTTTTGTATTAGTAATTCAATTTAAAATTAAAGAAAAATAAAATTTGTGTAATTGTGTCCCATGAAAATGAGCTAATCTTTATTTAAAACAAAATTTTCCCTCGGCCTTAAAAGAAATATCTCTGTAACTTTCCCAAGTCTGAGGGTTAAATTGAAAATATGCTAAACCCGAATTACCAACTCCTCCTTAAAAAGGGTCTCAGCCCAAACGGAAAAGCTCATTCAGTTATTCATTTCCCGCTCTCTCACACACTCCGAAGAAGAGCGAGCCAGAGAGAAAGAAAGAAGATGATGAGTGCAATGAAAGGGTGGGCCTTTGCTCTGGTGGTGATCTTCTCTGTGCTTCTGTCATGGAGCATCCCAAGAGGCGAGTCAGAGAGAGCCTTTCTCTCTTTCTCCTCCCATGAACCACTGGTCAAAGTGGTTTCTTTGGCGTCTGCGGATGGAGGCCAAGATTTCTTCATGGAGATGACAGATTCTGTTGCAATGAACATCGAGTACGATTTCTACAGCGATACATGCCCTGAAGCTGAGACCATTGTGAGGTCTACGATGGCTCAGATTTACTCCCAGCACAAGAATGTCTCTGCTCAGCTTCTGCGCCTCTTTTTCCATGACTGCTTCATTCAGGTATACCAAGATTCTTCTTTTCTTTATCTTTGAGGTTTTTTTTTTCTCAAATAGCTTTTGTGCTGATTACTCTGGGTCCTCTGCTTTTAATCTTGATTGTACTTTTCTGCATCTGTGTGGGTTTCCTGCTTCTAGTCTTGATGGTTCTTTTCTTCATCTATGAATGACTTTTGTTTGGATTGCTCTGGGGTTTTCTGCTTTTAATCTTTGTGGTCATTTCCTTCATTCGTGTGGGGTTTTCTCAAATAGGATTTGATTGCTTTGGGTTTTCTGCTTTTAATCTTGGTCGTCCTTCTCTTCGCCTGTGTGGGTTTCTCAAATGGGTTTTGATTGCTCAGGGTATTGGAATCTGATTCTGATGATTCGGATTCTTATCTTCAATTTGATGTTGTTATTGGTTTCTATGAATAATGCTATAAGATGATTTCGGCATGATATTTATGAGTTTTTCTGAAATGGGTTTTCGTTTCTTTGAGTATTTTGTCTCTAACCTTAGTTTCTGTCTTTTTAATCAAGCATGTATTGGCTCTAACCTTAGTTGGGCTATGATTACCTTACGTGGGGTTTTTGAATCAGGGTTGTGATGCTTCAGTCCTCTTGGATCACAGCAATGGGAATAAAAACCATTCCGTAGAGAAGCAGGCTGTGCCAAATAAGACCTTGAAGGGATTTGATAAAATTGATCAGATCAAGGAGGTGCTCGAAAATGTTTGTCCTGCAGTGGTATCTTGTGCTGACATACTTGCTCTTGCCACAAGAGATGGCGTTGTTCTGGTATGTTTTACTGCTCCTATGAGTCTTGACGTATTCATTCCTGTTTTGATTTTCAGCGTTTGATCTTCTAAACTACCTCTAAGGCAAAAATTTCCAGTTTCTTCTCTTTCCATTCCATCTAATTACTATTAGAAAAAAGAACTAAAAGAGAGAAGTAAGAAACCAAAACTGTCACACATTTAGTTGTTCAACTTTTGGTGCTTGTGAATTAGTTAGTTGTTCACTAACTCTTTTGCTGGTAGTTCATCATTATTTAAGTGGAAAAGCTACAGAACACTTAACTGTATTATCTGACTGCTTGTTTCAGTATTCTTCTCTGAGTGTTTGTCCTATCTAAAATGACAGGCTGGTGGTCCCTTTTATCCACTTTTCACTGGTAGAAGAGATAGTGCCCGCTCCTATTATGATGAAGCCATGGCTGAGATTCCAAAACCTGATGATAATATCACTCAGACACTTCATCTGTTCTCACTCAGAGGTTTTACTGACAGAGAAACCGTCAGTCTTCTAGGTACTCAACTAACAAATTCTATTCCTTCTTTTTCTTCATTTCTTTATGTTTGGAGCTGAAATAGATTAATCAGTCTTGACATATTCTTCCCTTCTGATTTTTTTTTTGGGTTTTGTTTCATATCTGTAGGAGGGCACAACATTGGGAAGATTGGATGTGAGTTCATTCAGTCTCGCCTGCACAACTTCAAGGGGACAGGGAAACCAGACCCAACTGTTTCTCCTAGTTTCCTCAATGAGATGAGAGTTTTCTGTGAAGACAATGGTAACGAGAAGAGTAGCCAAGGATCATCCATTGCAGCTACCATGGCGTCTCCCATGGCATTCCCCACCGCAGGCCCCATGGCATCATCCCCAATGGCATCAAGGGCATGAGTGAGAAGCCTGCGCTGAGGGGGATGCCATACTTTCAGCAACTGTCATCATCTGTATCGTCTGGGGCAGGCTTTGACACTCATTACTACCAGAGCTTGTTGAGAGGCAGAGGACTTCTCTTTGCTGATCAGCAATTGATGGCTAATGAGAGGACAGCCAGATTGGTGAGAGCTTATGCTTCAGACGATGGATCAACCTTCCGGATGGACTTTGCCCGGGCAATGATGAAGATGTCTAACCTTAATGCACTCACTGGATCTCAAGGTCAGGTCCGATTAGAATGCACTCTGCCAGTCTCTAGCTAGCTAGTTCTTACCTGACAGAATCCAACCGGAGGCCATGATGGAGATTGAAGAAAATTTCTGTTGAAATATTTGTTCCCTCTGGTTGTACAGTAGAGAAACTTTTAGCCCTGTTAGACCACATTCATTCCTTTAGCCATCTTTATTAGTCATGTTCATTTGTGAATTGTGAGTACCTGCAGATATATAGCAGCAAGCAAAGAAAGTTTAACTAGAGAATGTTAATCCCCTTCCCGCCTATGTAGAGTTGAATTTTTCTGATTGTGAATAACTCAAGGACTAGTGTGATTGTTTTCTTTTTGCCATATACAAGATGGGATTTTCTTTTTTCTTTTTCTTTTCTAAATATCCATGTCCATGTCCGAGACTTCATAATGATGGAACTCAACTATGGAGGCATTACAATCAGAACAAAATAACTTAAAAAACAAAAAAAGGAATCATTTTAATAACTCAAAATGATTAAGTTTGGTCATGTGGTTCTATAGGTTTAGCAAAATCAAATTGAATAATTCAAAGGACCAGTGTGATTGTTTTCTTCTTGCCATACAAGATTAGAGTTCATATATATATTTTCCTCTTCCCCAAGGTTCTGATAGTTTTTTTTTCTTTCTTTTTATAAGAAAATTCCATGTCCAAGTTTTACAAGGAGAGGAAAGAGATGGGAATAGAATTTCACAGCTGTAATACTACTTCATAGTTCTCTAAAAAAAATTACTTTCATAGTTCTCTAAATAAACGGTTATTTATTCAAATGGTCCTCAAACTTATACCCGATTTACATTTTGGTCTCTCAACTAAATTATTCGTTCACATGGTCCACAACTCAATTATTCGATCCATTGGTCCTATTGCTACATTCTGTCAATGTTTCCGTCAAATGTAACAGTAGGACTAATGGATCGAATAATATAGACTTTATGAATTATTTGAACGAATAATTTAGTTAAGGGACCGAAATGTAACTCGGGTATAAATTTGAGGACCATTTGAGTAAATAACCCTAAAAAAACAACTTCATACTGATCTCACCTATAAAAACCAGTTTTCATTTTAAAAGTTATCAAACCAAACATGCATGGATATATCTAAATTATATAAAATGGATTATGATGGAAATTATCCAACCAAAAAAGAAAAAGAAAACCAGTTTTCATTATAAAAGTTATCAAACCAAACAGGTAGGAGGATATGTTATGTATATCATCACCGGATAATTCAACAAAATCAACTTCATTACGCATCTGTGTTTTCATTATTTAATATTAAATACTTTTTTTTATTCCCTAAATTTTTAGTTATTGAATATTAGAAATTATTTTTTGGGCCTAAAAGCTACGAAGCAAAGAAGTCCAACTTAAGTTGTGCTTAAGTCGGTTTCCCAAGTCTATATAACTAGACAGAACCTTCAAACCTTTTCATAAAAATAGAAAGAAAAAAAATCGTTGGAGCAGTTACATTCGAGACTCTCACCCGAGTAACATAAGTCGATGTTCATTGCAACACTTTCTTTTTCTTTGAGATCAAAGTTAGGAGAAGGCGTTGCACTGAATTTCGAGTTAAGTTACTTTCGGTGAATTTCAACTTCCAGCGACAAGAAGCATAGCCAAGGTAAATGTGCACAACAATACCGAGTGTTTCTTATTGCATGATTCTCAACTTTATGTTGCTATATTTTATTTTTTTTGGGTCCAATTTTGATGTTGCTATTGGTTTCTATGAATCTTGAAACTCTGGGTTTTTCATTCTGATGTTACTGTTTTTTTTTTTTTTTTTTTTTTTTCTGGTTTGGTTCAAGTTCTTTCCTGGTTTTTAACGCTTCGGAATCTGAAAACTCTATCTGGGAATTTTAAGCAGCTACCCTGCTGCTCATTTAGGTATATGATGCTTTTGACATGATATTTATGAGTTTTCTCAAGTTGGTTTTGATTTCTTTGAGTCTGTCAAAATGATTAAGTTTGGTCTCGTGGTTCCATAGGTTAAGCAAAATCAAACTGAATAACTCAAGAACTTCTGTGATTGTTTTCTTTTTGTCATACACGATTAGGGTTCATACATCATTTCTTCTTCCGCAAGGATCTTATGGTTTTTATCTCACCAACACACCCAAAATAATATATATATATATATATATATATATGATTTAAAAAAAAACCAGTTTTCATCTAAACGAAAATGGGACTTGCAAACAAAAATGGTGTACTAGCCATTTTTGAAAATGTAAATTATGTGTCAACCTTCCACTTTTGTTCTTTTTTTTTTGTTGTTCTTTTTTTAAGTCGGATAAATACAACATTTAAATTAGATCAACAACAATCTTCTCATTTAAATTATCCAAACCAAAATATACAAAAACCAGTTTTCATTTTAAAAGTTATCCAACCAAAAATATTATATTTTCTATTATTTTCATTATTTTAATATTCTCTTTTCCAATTTCTCTTTTTATTGAATATTTTGAGTAGACATTGTTTAAGTTTCCGATTTTTTATCATACATTACTTTTTAGGTATAACATGAACAAGGTTGGGGTGATGAGCTTTCATTTTAAGCTGTTTCCTTGCATCCAACTTCTTGTTTAGATAACTCACAACTTACAACTCAGTCTTGACATATTCTTCCCTTCTGATTTTTTTTTGTTTCATATCTGAAGGGGGGCACAACATTGGGAAGACTGGATGTGAGTTCATTCAGTCTCGCCTTCACAACTTCAGGGGGACAGGAAACCAGACCCAACTGTTTCTCCTAGTTTCTTCAATGAGATGAGAGTTTTCTGTGAAGGCAATGGTAACAAGAAGAGTTGCCAAGGATCACCCATGGCAGCCCCCATGAAGTCTCCCATGGCATCCTCCACGGCAGCCCCCATGGTAGCATCCATAGCATCATCCCCAATGGCATCAAGGGGCATGAGTGAGAAGCCTGCGCGGAGGGGGATGCCATACGTTCAGCAACTGTCATCATCTGTATCGTCTGGGGCAGGCTTTGACACTCATTACTACCAGAGCTTGTTGAGAGGCGGAGGACTTCTCTTTGCTGACCAGCAACTGATGGATAATGAGAGGACAGCCAGATTGGTGAGAGCTTATGCTTCAGACGATGGATCAACCTTCCGGATGGACTTCGCCCGGGCAATGATGAAGATTTCTAACCTTAATGTTCTCACTGGATCTCAAGGTCAGGTCCGATTGGAATGCACTCTGCCAGTCTCTAGCTAGCTAGTTATAGCAGCAAGCAAAGAAAGTTCAACTAGAGAATGTTAATCCCATTCCCACCTTCCCAATGTAGAGTTGCATTTTTCTGATTGTAAATAACTCAAGGACTAGTGTGATTGTTTTCTTTTCTTTTTCACATATACAAGATTAGGGTTCATATATCATTTCATCTTCCGCAAGGATTTTATTTTATCATGGTTTCTTTCTTTTCTTTTTTCTTTACTATTGGATACACGAAGAGACCACTTACTTTATTAAAGTTGACTGACCGTTGACTTTCTTTGTTTTGTTTTTAAATAAATTGTAATTAAAGTTGAATTACAAGTTTATCTAACAACAAAGACTCTTTATAATTTTTATTTTTATTTTTTAGAGAAATTTACATAAATACCACCTGAACTTTTAAGCACGTGAGCCATTACCGCTTAAACTTTTAATTTTTATTATTAACCACATGAACTTTAGAGAGTGTTACAATGTACCATCCATGTCTAACTCTGTTAAACTTTGCGTTAACTTTAAGGTCAATTCCATCAATTCACTAGAACTAAAAAAACTTAACATTTTTAAAACTAACGGAATTTATAATTATTTTTTTTTTCTTTATGAAAAAACCTAACCTAAATCATCCCACGGTTTCTCCCATCCCATCCATCAACAATTTTACCCCTTGCCTAGTAGAGACCTCTCCCCCATTCTCTACATACATCCTGGCTTCTGGGGAGATGGATTTCATGGATCTTCAAACCTCTAAATTAATTTGGCCTTCAATTCTTTTCCTTTTTAGTATTCATACAATGAAGTTTCATTCAAAAGTCAAAACGGAAACACACGAAAAACCATACAATTGAGGGCATATATAGGATACAGAGAAGCACATCCCATCCAAACACAACCTCCCATAAACCAACCCAACAAAAAGCCAACATAAAAAAAAAAAAAAAAAAAAAAAAAAAAACAAAAAAAAAAAAAAATTAGTAGGGGCAAGGAATCCCATGTCTAGATAGTACCATCAATAGTGAGAGAAGGGGCTGATTAACCCATCTAAGTAATGCACCCTCGAGTTGGCCTTCAACTCTTCAACAAACTACACCAAATATTTTATAGATTCGGTGGAGAGAGATAGAGATATGAAGTAGGGTGTATGCAGAGGGTGGGGAGGCTACAGGGCAATGGGGAAGCATTTGTGTTGGAAGGGGTGGGGAACAATAATTAGGTTAGGTTTATTATTTTATTATTTTAATTTTGTTAGTTTTAAAAATGTTAAGTCTTTTAGTTATTGTGAACTGACGGAATTGTCCTTAAACTTAATAGAAAGTTTAGACATCGGTGGTACATTGCAACTCTATAAAGTTCAAGTGGTTAATAACAAAAATTAAAAATTTAAGTGGTAATTGTGCATATGCCTAAAAGTTGAAATTTATACAAATTTTCCTATTTTTTATATTTCTAGATTGGGTATGATTGGAAAATTAACCAAAGTTTGCTTTCCATTACACAATGTAGAGATGAGAGACGCATGCTAGTCTGAAAGATTGGATTTCTTCAAAATGCAAACAAAAAGAATTTTAAAAAAAACTGTACTTTTAAATTACCAAATGCCGAAATCCACATATGGAGTCCCAACTTGTACATGTATGACACGATTTGTTTTCTTTTATTTTTTCGCTTTTGTTGTAGAGAGCTTGCAGAAACCCTCTCCTTCAAAGTTGCGCCATTTTTTAATTTGTCCATGGTGTATACCTTTTTTCCATTCACCCCCTCCTAAACTGAAGGTTTTTTTGTATGGGCAAAAATACAAGTCTTTCGTTATAAGAGGCAACAAGATGACTTGAGAACAGAAAACACAGCACAGTACTAGCTCTTGCATCTTTTCACAATGTTGGAAGAGGCGCAAGATCGAATCTCCTGTCTCCGTTTATAAATAAAAACTGTAATTAATATAACAAAGCAGAAGATTAAGGATCAGATAAGGAGAGCATGCATCAATGTTGATTAGGAAACAACACTTGCTAGTGCAAGCTTTAGCAGAGCAAGAACAAAGACACAAACATCATATTAGTACCTGGCCAGTGCCACCAAGGCTAATGGGCTGGACTGGCAAGTTTTTTTGACTGCTGTTATCCTATGGTTCATGTTCAAACTGTTTTTCCAAATAACTAACACCCATCTCAATATCTAATAAAGTTCAACAGTAGAAAATAAAATCCAAATTTTCACAAACTCCTTCCTGCATATACATCATGATGGCTTTAACTTTTTAAGCTCCATCACCGGAAACAAGGGCATCGATCAGATCACCATTTTCCATTCCAAGCTGCACAAAGTTAAGTAGCAACTAAGAATCAATGGACACATCATTGAAAACAGAAATATATAGTGCTTGACTTTAAACTCCACAAGAAGCACAACTTTTGTTCAAACTGGCTTTGATGCATCAAAGGGCATCAGCTAGTAAAGGAACAATCATTTCACCAACAATTACATTACAGCTTATGGTGACCTATCACGGATTCGATGGTAGTCGAACCTAAGCCCCTGTTGGATGTAACACAAAGCCAACAAGCTATAAAGGGTAGTTTAGCTCTATACAAATCCCCACTTTGGAGAAATACAACAATAATCTACATTATCAACTAGTAGAGGTCCATCGAGCATTCTCCCACTCAAAAGGTGATTAAGTTGGAGATAATATTTAGTTCACGCTTGGACTTAGTAGTGCGTTCCTACAAGGCCCGTGATACAACTCTAGCATCAATGAAATTTATTTTCATGATTAACATTCTAAGTAACTTTTATGAACTTTTACCTGCTCAGGAGTTTTGTTCTTCTCGAGTCGGACGCTATCAAACGTGAATTCTATTGATTTGGGGTCAAGGGAACGATTTTTACAGAATGCTTCCATGAGTTTTTGCAGTTTGGTGCTTCGTTTAACCCGGAAAAAAGTTTGAACTCCATCCTACACGTGGATCTCATCATATAACAAATGAATCCCATTAGATTAAACTACAGTGGATCTATTTATTCTAAGATGTGGCATAATAATTCAGTGATAATTTGGTGATATTCAACAGAGAAAACATGAAGCTAAATAAGGTACGGCGAGAAAACATGAAACTAATTTGGTGTTTCCTTCCCAGTACAGATTGGAAGGGTGTTTTAGTCAATTTCTAATCCAAATTTTGGCTAACGTTGAAAAATATTTTCTCCATCTTATTAGTTCTTATATAAACCCATCAACCCCGAAGTCCCAGTAACCCTAATGGAAACCCAATTTCTTCCTTTCATTTGGTTATAGGAAAAGGAAAATTTGAAAGAAAAAACTAAAAAAAGAAGGTTAAAAATTTTCAAGTACAGCACATGCAATGCAAGGAAAAGAGTGGGGGAGAATCAAACCTTGTTGAACTGAACTTTGAGATTCACAGTGTCTTCATCAGATCGACCTCCAGACATCTTAAGAGCTACGGTTTTTCTTTTCTCTGTGTTGTGTTCTTGTTCTTGGGAGCTTTTTTTGGGGTCAGAAGTTCTGTTCTTGGGTTGGGAGCTTTTTTTTTTGGGAAATAGCCTTCTATGCCACCATTTTGCTAATTTTAACTAAAAATACCACCCCTTCCCAATTTTTTTACAACTAACACCTTTAAATATAAAATTATTGCCCACTTATTGTACCCATATCAGTTTTTCAGAAATTGGCTCTCTCTCTCACTGTCTTCGCTCTTTCTCTTCGGCCCATCTCTCTCCCTGGTGTACCTCTCTCTCTTCGACGCAGTGCTCTTTCCCCGTCAACATTCGCCGTTCATCCAAGCGGAAATCCATCGTTGATAGGGACGAGGTACTGTTCATAACCATTTTCTTTGAAATGTGGGGTTTTTGTGAAGGTTTATGGTGTCTGGATTTCTAAGAAATTGGTTTGGTTGCTCAAAAATTGGGTTTGGGTTTATGGGTTTCTATGAACTGGGTAATAACGCACACCCACTGTCACTGGCTCGCAGCCACTGTTCACAGAAATCAAACTCTTCATTTTGTCACAGAACGTTTGGGCTTCGTTCACCTTTGGGAATCTTGGGTTAGCTTATAGTAGATGTTTGTGCACTGTTTGGTATTTTAAATTAGAATCAGTGGCTGTGGCTGATCTGAGAGGTTGTCTATAAGACCACAAAATCAATTATTAAATAAAACATGATTTCGGAGAAATCATGACAATGTAAGCTTATAAAACCCCGTCTTTGATATTTAGGATAACAGATGGCTGCTTAACTGACCATCGAGCAGTTGTCTATTTCTATCACAGATTCTAAAGTTTGTTTCATGGAACATTTCATACCAAAGCTGCTGGTACCTCTGCTGGATGCATTTACTGTAAGTATGACTCACTCCTAGAAGATTGCTTTTCACTGTGGTGCAAGTTGACTGCATAATGACAGATAGCCACCCACAGCTGTGAAACAACTTTGCGCTAATGCAGTTGTAATCTGTTGCAGAATTTGAAGAGATATTAATAGTTTAAATAAATTGGTAAGCTTTGCTTATTCTTTCATTTTTTGGGGCATAAGAATCAATATAGTATGCTATAGGTATGCATATTGTTAGCAGTTTTAGGACATACCCTAATTTGATTCCTTTTGCTGGTATTTCATTGTTCTGAAGCCGAGGCTGAGTTTGATTCTGTGGCTGGCTTAGCTGCAGATGGATGGGTGTTTGCAAATCATATCCATTAGTGATGGTATATGGAGGTTGGGAACTTTTGTTTTCTTTATTCACACCCCTTGCTCCATAAACTTGAGATTAAAAACTTCTGTTTCAGCCTTTTCCAGTGGAGAAACCTTCACATTTGCTTATATTATAATTAACATAATGGCCTTATGTTTTTGGCTTAGTGATATCTCATTTAGCTTCTCTCTCTTTCCTTCTACCTGTCACCTGTCTCCTCCCTTTAGTGAAGTATAATGTGTTAAATAGAAGAGTAGAGCTTAAGGGATATATTTTAATAGTATTATACAATCTTTTAGACAATACCTTCTCTAGCAGTTCTGCATTCTCTTTACCTACAAGGTTTAGCTTCTTATACAGTTCCATATTCTCTTGCTGTATGAGATTTCCCTGAAATAAGTAAAAAGAATGATATAAAATAGGTATAAATTAGGCCCCAAGGACTTGAATTAACATAAATGGACTAGGAGAAACTGAGGCAGTTTTCTTTGGTAACCTTCTGGTTCAATTCTTTTATTTCATCATTTAGTATCTGGTCCTGCAGAAAAATGACTGAGTGTCATGCATGTGCTACATAAAGAAGGGATCTTGACAGTAGTAACTGAGACTATATAATCAGGACTAGGCACCTTTTTCATCCGGACACCTTTCAAACTTGTCTCCAGTTGGTTTTCCAGGCTCGGTAGATCTTTGGCACTCAAACCAGAAAGTTCTTCACCCATTAACTGCCTGCAAGTTTATACAGAAACATCCAGCCAATCTTTCATTTGATCTCCAATGAGCGGTCGCAAATGTTAGTTTTTAACTTGGAAAAATAAAATAAAATTGAAAGTTACTTTTGGGAAATGTTGAACTTTTATAATGAATATGGCTTCAGTGCAGAAGGCTTGATAGTAAATAGAAAATCTATATGCTGGGGGTTTTCTGGCTAGCTAAAAATGTGTGAGAAATGATGAATCTATCTGATTGCAGCCTATTTAATGTTTAATACCTTCATTAAAAAAAGGTTGTTGATAGTGCTTTGACTATCTTGCAGATTATAATGGCAAAACCAGCAGGTGGCCCTAGTAAGAGAGATCAGCCTGCAGGGATGGATGAGGACTAATTTTGTGTGTATGACAATTGACTATCTTTGCTTGTATTGCTGTATGTTAGGGATCTTTTGTTCCATTTTAGTAACAATTTTGTTTAGGAGAAAAAGAAACATATTGCAGGTCATGCTTTGTAAATGCCACTCTTCTGTTACGATGGACACGTGGTATGCCCTTGTTGGGTAGGTTTGGATTGAAACCATGGTCGAGTGCTTGGGCCATGTTTAGTGAGAAGCTTGAATGAATTTTCTTTTCTGTTGTATTTGGCCCTTGTCTTTTCAAGCATGCCAAAAATCATCCTGGTTTTGTAATATGTGGTTTGTGCCTAATTAATTTACTGTGGATCTTGCATTTTTGTACCCAATATTCGATAGTTGCCTTCTTTTGAACGAAGATTCATTGAGGGAGAGAATTACTTTCCTTTTGAATATGAATAGATGTGCAACTCCAACTATCATTTCAAAGGTCAACATCAATTCATGCTAATATAAGGATGGATAACAATTGTCGTGTCTATGAGATTTGAATTCAGGATTACTTTTAATGAAGTGGAGACTGTTATTAGACCAAATGGCCATTGACATACGATATAATAGCAATATTAGGTCAATATATGTACACTATAGAGGCAATATTAGAGCAATATAACCACAATACGATAGCAATAGTATTACAATATCACCTATAAAAATATAATTATTGTCCACTTATTGCTGATTTTTCACATGTTCAGAAATTTTGTTCTCTCTTAGCTCACTCAGCTCTCTCTCTGGCACATCTCTCTTTCTCTTTGGTATCTGTCTATTGCAACTCTCTGTCTCTCTCTCTCTCTCTCTCTCTCTCTCTAGTGCAACTCTGTGTCTCTCTCTTTGCTCTCTTTCTGTAGCGCAGCTCTTTCTCTTTCTCTCTGTTTCTCTCTAGCTTTGTTCTGTCTCTTTCTCCCCCTATTCGCTCTCTTGCTCTCTGTCTCTTTATTCATACCTTCCTTTTTTTGTAAATTATTTTTTAGTTGTTATTATTTTTTAAAATAATTTCTTACAATGTCTTACGGTGCAATTATGATGCACCTGACTGCCTGTTTTTGAAAGGCACGTTGTTTCTTTCTCCTCATCATCTTCTTTTTGAATGAAGTATGGCCTAAACCGTAAACCCATTGATGAGCCGTAGTCAATATACATACAATATAATAGCAATATTAGGGCAATATACATACACTAGAGAGGCAATATTATGGCAATATAATGGCAATACGACAGCAATAACATCACAATATACATGCAATACGGTGGCAATATGCATGCAATATGTATACAATACACAGGCAATATTAGTACAATACACATGCAATAGGACAACAATATTAAGTCAATCTACATACAATACACACACATTCATTACATACTACAATTTAGACATGGAAAATAAATCGTCACCGAACCCTAACAATACTGTCCCGCGAAGCAAAAATTATTTCTTTCGTAAAACTTGAAAATTCAATTGTTATTACATAGTCAACCAATCTTTGCTCTAGTATATACACACTTCCTACCTATAATTATAAATAATGGAGAGCTCACAAATTCTACTAATTTGATCTTAACTTCATCAATTTGTTCTTCGGTGTATGAGTTAGTGCTCTCTTCTTGCACATTTTCCAAGCTGTTATATTCTCCTCCCGTGTAGCAATATCAACAACAACAAGTTATCTACAGATCTGAAATCATAACTGCAGATGATTCTCAATTAACAAAAAGGAAAACCATTTTCTTTTATAACTTTGGTTTTGGAATATATAACAAAATGCAATAGTTCAAACTCAGCCTCGGCCTCAGAACAATGAAATACCAGCAAAAGGAATCAAATTAGGGTATGTCCTAAAACTGCTAACAATATGCATACCTATAGCATACTATATTGATTCTTATGCCCCAAAAAATGAAAGAATAAGCAAAGCTTACCAATTTATTTAAACTATTAATATCTCTTCAAATTCTGCAATAGATTACAACTGCATTAGTCCAAAGTTGTTTCACAGCTGTGGGTGGCTATCTGTCATTATGCAATCAACTTGCACCACAGTGAAAAGCAATCTTCTAGGAGTGAGATGTCATACTTACAGTAAATGCATCCAGCAGAGGTACCAGCAGCGTTGGTATGAAATGTTCCATGAAACAAACTTTAGAATCTGTGATAGAAATAGACAAACCAATTAGGTGTGTAAATTTATGCAATAAGGGGAAAGCATGAGAAGTTCACCTTTTCAAAAGTAGTTTCCCCCATTCCTGTTTTGTAGAGTTCATAAACCATGGCAGTCAAAAATATTTTACTCAGCCTGGAAGAAGTTTTCATCACCTGCCAGGAAAAAACAAAGAAAAGAATTAGCATTAATATATCTCTGAAGAAGGTAGAGAGAATTTTTATTAATTTTTTTTTTTTTTGTTCTTCCAGATACAACATAGATAAATAAAACTTCCTTTCAACCCAATAACAATTTATGCAGCTAAAGTTGTATGGAGTTGAATGCTACTAGTGCAGAAATTCACTACTTTAAACCAGCATCAGATAATTTGGGTCCTGAAAGCCATTTTTCACCATGCTCTCCTTTAAAGAATGGCACTTATAAGATTTAGCAAACTCCAACTGACACCATTTTCATCTTTGTTACTCGACCAAAAAACTATGTAGCTATCTGGATCTCATGTATTTCATATTAGGAATGCATATTAACGTAGTAATCACTGCGTCATATGCCTCACTCAAGGGTATTGATTACCTCTTCTAAGATGTAACATACCATTTAAATAAAAGAAGTTTCACCAACATAAATCATTTTTCATCATGACTGTAAGATATAATCTGACTCACTTGAATATGAGGTGCCTGGAACATTTCTTGTATGGCTGCTTCAACCTCTGCCATTCCAACAAGTGATTTTCCTGCAAAGTAGGCACATATAAATCTTGTAAGTGACAAGAATTAAAGCCTCAAAGCAAGATAATAACGCTCCTAAACAAAGCAAGCACATAGAGTTTAAGCTACATGAGATGTTGGTGCTTAATAATACCAATGTAGTAACAGAGTATTTCTTTTGAAACTTCAAGATACAGGAAAGAAGAGAAGTTGACAATTCTAATTCCTTGGTTGACCAAAAAAGAATACTGGTTTAAAGGTTGCTTAATTTTCATTTTTTCAAATAAAAGAAAATGAAACAAAACAAATACCAAAAACAGAACAAAAAAACGAAACATGTATTATTTGGCATTTAAACCAGCTCTTCTATGACACAAACTCTCATTATAGGACCAGTTGGCCAATGAAAGGCCATGTTTTTTTTCTCTGACAAAAGTAATATTCTAAACTACTTTAAATTGACAAAAGCAAGCTCAGAATTGCAAGTCATGTTCTTATAGAGAAGTCCAGTGAGCAATGTCAAGATATTTAATGGAAGGCAGTGACAACCATGATAATCATGACAGCTTAAGTTACAATAGGAATGTGCAGTAGCAGAAGCCTAATTCAGAACAATTCAACAAGAAGACATCAGGAAACAATTTATTGACTTCAACGTATAATGTAATGGAACATCCTATCAATTAGTGGCAACCACAATCATGACTCCAATATGCCCTCCTTTCAAATGTAAGGAAATTAATGAAATTGGCACCATCCCTTCAGTTTTTCCTTAACAAAATCAGAGGTTTGTATGTATTGTATGTGTTATCAATATCAAAGATAAATGAATAAATAAACCATCAAAACTGTAAAAAATGTTTCTTACACATGTACAATTAAAAAATTAAAAGTTCACCTCATAAACAGAGTTTTCTAACTATCCATACACAAAAAAGACAAGCAAAAGCTTAAAGAGTTAGCTTATAGCAAAATCCATGGCCCCATTTCTCTAAACCACACCTGCTGGTGGCATGTTCCCATCTTCACTCATTTCCCTCTTTGTTTTAAGCATACAATGATCAAGCACAAAACAGCAAACTTTTAAAGAACTCATATTACACCACATATGGTTCCTTGCCCTTTGTTTAGACATTGAATATTCATCCCCAAACTGAAATTCCAAATAATCACAAGAGAATATGAAAAACAAAGAGAACTTATCCATATCCAATATGCAAGCCCTTAAGTTAGCAAACAGAGTTAAAGCAAAACCAATTTTAGTGAAACCCCTAAACCCTATACCCATTTCAGAAAACCCACTAAACCAATTTCAGAGAAACCCCCAAACCCTAAACCAATTTCAAACAACCCCGTCAACCAATTTCAAACAACTCCGTCAACCAATTTCAAACAAACCCATAAACCCTAAGCCGTAAAAGAATTCCGATGAACAGTACCTGTTTGCTGTGAATGATGGCGTTGTTCTTCGATGAACAGATTTCGCTGGGAGAGGAAGACAGAAGAGAGAGTGACAGCTGAGCGATGAGAGATGAGAGAGTTAGAGCTGAGAGACGAGAGAGTGAGAACAGAGTGACCAGAGAGTGAAGATGAAGAGACTGAGTGACGGAGAGCTGATGGGCGGGAGGTAAATTTCAGAAAATGTGTTAGGAGAGCAATAAGGGTACAATAATTTTATATTTATAGTTGATAGTTATAAAAAAATTGGGAAGGGATGGTATTTTTAGTTAAAATTATCAAAGGGGTGGCACTGAGGGTCATTTCCCTTTTTTTTTCGGTCTGAGTTCTGTTTTTGGGAGCTTGATCACGCAAAACTAGCTTTGTGTCTTTGTTTTTTTTCTTTTCGTTTTTGTTTTGTTTTTTTTTAAGTTTTGTCTGGAATTTGAAGAGAAGAGCAGGAGAGGTTCAATCAATGTAATGGATTTGGCAAAGTTACGTGCTACACCCAACTTCAGAGACTGACCCGTGACTTTCCCTCGTTTGGTAAATAAAATTATGACTTCAAAAACATCAATAATACTTCAAAATTATTTTTAATAAAGGATTTTCAGTCTGAAGTATCAAGCTAATCGAATTTACCGTCTGAACTAAAAAGTCAACTAATTTTTTGTAAATAAAGTTATGACTTCAAAAACATCAATAATACTTCAAAATTATTTTTAATAAAGGATTTTCAGTCTGAACTATCAAGCTAATCGAAAAAGTCAACTAATTTTTGGTAAATAAAATTATGACTTCAAAAACATCAATAATACTTCAAAATTATTTTTAATAAAGGATTTTCAGTCTGAACTATCAAGCTAATCGAATTTACCGTCTGAACTAACTAATTTAGTACCTGAACTTATTGAAATAGTTAATTTAACCCTTACAGTCAATTTTTTTGAATTTCATCCATTTTGCCATCCATTATGTCACATACTCTTCACGTGACTTACTATTTGATTATTTTTATTATTAAAAAAACAAAACTATTTAGAGGATTGAAAAAACCTCTCTCTCGCTGAAACCCATAAAATCTCTCAAACTTTATTATCCATGAAAGTCACCCATACCCATTAACAGTGACGAACCCAGAAATCTTACCTTATGGGGGTCATAGTGTAAAAGTTCCAAGTTTTTTTTAAAGATTAAAATAACATTAGAATTGAAACTATAGTACGTACATTCATAATTCATATGAAAAACAACATTACAAGCTACAATTGTCCACGACGAGGTTTCATATTTTGAGAGCGTAGCATTATATCTTCATTTTCAATACAAGCAAAAACATCATTCTCAATTTAAACAAGCAAACTATATTTAACTCCAATAAACTACATTCATAAATGAAACATCCAATAAATCAAAACAGTATAATAAAATCATAATTTCATTTCAATTAATTTAGGCTTAGAGTTAGAATTTACTTGAATTGTGAGAGTGGACGCGGCAGCAACCTTTTGGGGGTGGCAGAGATGACAATGGAGCAGGCTGCAGATGGGGGTTAAAGGTTTGGAGGGGGGAGATTGGGGATTTGGGGTTGAGGAGAACATAATTGGGGTTTAGGCAGTTGTTGGGATCGGGTGGAAGGGTTTTGGAATGATTGGGGGCTGTTTTAATTTTGTTTTTTTAAAAGACCTGGACCAAAACTATGTCGTTTTGGCCAGGCCATTTAAAGAAAAATTCGCTGGGCCCTAAAATGACGTCGTTTTCGCCAACTCATTTTAAAAAAAATTGCTGGACCAAAACGACGTCGTTTTGGACAGCTCATTTTTTAAAAATTTTTTTACCCATGTTTTAAGAAAATAAATAAATTAAAAAGAGAGAAGTGCGCTGAGCTTTTTCTTCTTCCTCGTGCAGGCTGCCATTTCGTTCAGCCTAAACAACAAACAGATGGAGGGCATCCATGGGCTTGCACAGTCAACTTAAGGAGACCTTCAAGCTCATTTCCATGGAGCCCATGGGGTCGTTTGACCCCATTGACCCCATTGTGGGTCCGTCCCTATCCATTAACCATGAAAATCTTCACCTTCAATCACAACCCAATCAACAACAACCATTATCAATACCATCTTCTCCATCATTATTATCTTTGTTGTCGTCACCGTTGTCCTCATCAAGTACAAGACCAGTATCAAGATTATTCTCTAGATTCTCTTAACTCTTATCACTATGTTTTTCCTCTTTTTTGTGGTAAGGAGGGGGCCAAGCCCAAATAACACATGTTATTCTTCCTTTTGATTATTTGTGTGGTTTGATTTTAAGATTAATTGATGAATCCATGAACTCAGTGGCAGATCTAGGATTATGTGGCCAAGGGGGCTTAGTGTAAAAGTGTCGTAATTTTTCTACAAAGAAAATAATGCTAAAAAGATAGAAAGATAGTACTTCCATTCATAATTCATAACAAAACCAATAATACAAGTTACAATTGTCCACGATGAGTTTTCATATTCTGAAAACGTTGCATTATAGTTTCGTTATCAATACAAGCAAAAACATCTCTCTCAATGTAAACAATCAAGCTATCATTCAACCATTGATCTCCCATTCTGTTGTGAAGTGGATTTTTAATAATATTCATGGCGGAAAATGGCCTCTCTACTGAAGCAGTTGCAACCTGTAAAACCAAAACCAATGTAAGAAGCAAATACACATAAGGAAATATTTCATGCATTCCCTTATCCACCATTTTTTCCACAAACTACTAATCCCTTCCAATTGAGAAAAATCACTACTCGAACGCATATGATGAACATAAACACCAAGTTGATCTTCAAGCATCAATAAGTCTCTATCTGAAAAATCATAAGGATAAAATTGAGTAAGAAGAACTAGCTTTCGTTTGTCAAAAGCTACAAAGTTATTTTTCGGACTCAAGCATGCCAAACAAGTAAGTAACTCAGTACTTACCTCGTTGAAGCGATCATTTAATTCCGCAAGTTACCCATCAATTACATGAATAAAGATCTCCACACGATAACGATGATAATTTGTCTTCATTGGAGCATTACGTCGTGATCTCCCTGGTATTACATATTCCTCATCCATGGTAGGAACTGTAATATCATGTTTGTAACAAAACGAAGATGCTTGTTCAACCAATTCTTCAAACTCATTATTCCTCATCAACTACAGGTTTTCCTTGCATGTTTTCACTTAACTCATTGCACTCACAATGTCTTGATCTTTCTTTTGCAATGCTAGAGACAAAGTATTTGTTATTTCCAATATAGCTTTCATTAAAAATAAGTGAAACACAAACTTAAAAGATTTTATTTCTCTCTATAACTTATAGGCTTCACCCGAACTATCATTAGGATTATCATCAACAATCATTTGAAGCACATTCACCACAAATGGGAACATAGAAATGATACTAATCAACGTACCATAATGTGAGTTCCATCGTGTATCGCCGGCACGTTTGAGACTAGTTTCTTGATTTAAGCCTCTCCCCCGTTCTAAGACAATTATCTTCAAAAACTCTCACAAGCTCTTCTTGGTATTATGCTTTAAGTGTATCACAACGCTTACAAGATGCTCCAACAACATTAACCAAACTATTAGCCTTTGTGAAAAAAGAGTTGACATCAATGTTTTTCTTTGCTACCGAAACAAGAGCTAGTTGAATTTGATGAGCAAAGCAATGAACATAAAATGCACAAGGTTGTTCTCTCAAAATCTTTGTCTTAAGGCCATTGAACTCACCTCTCATATTACTAGCTCCATCATAACCTTGTCCTCGTAGCTTGGAAAAGCTCAAATTCGTGGAAGAAAAGAATTCATCAATGGCTTCCTTTAGTGCACTTGAAATAGTGTTGGTTACATGTTGAACCCCCACAAACCTTTCAATTATTTGTCCTTTGTTGTTTACATAACGCAGCACCATTGCCATTTGCTCCTTTATTGAAACATCACGTGCTTCATCTACCATTATTGAAAAATATCTATCTTTTACATCACTCAAGATAAGACCAATGGTTTTTTTAGCACAAGAATTGACAAGATCTTTCTGAATTGAAGGAGCTATTAACTTTAAATTTCCTTGAGCATTTTCCAACACAATGCCCTTAACTTTTTCATAATGATCCGCAAGAAATTGCAAGAGCTCTAAATAATTCCCTTTATTATTTGATTGTGCACTTTCATCATGACCACGAAAAGAAAGACCTTGTCACAACAAATACCTAGTGCACTTAAGTGATGCATTCAAGCAAGTGCGATAAGCCGTGCGAGCTTGGCTTGTTTGCTTATCACAATTGTTTCAATGTGAGTAGTTTGATGCATCAAATTGTAAGCAACTTCTCTAGCTTGGTTGTGAACACTACCAACTGGTCCAACATGAAGGTTAAATCTTTCTTTCGCCTTCTTCCAATTATTGAAGCCTACCCCAGTGAATGCATCACCACCCACTTGATCAAAATTAGATTTGAAGATATAACAATGAAGACAAAACGCAGCATCTTTAGCAATACTATATTCCAACCAATCATGCTCATCAAACCAATGAGTAATGAAGTGTCTATTAATTCCTGATTGATTAGTTTGTGGGAATTGATAACTTCTAGGTTGACAAGGTCCCTTTTGTAGATATGCTCTTCGAATCTCATCCCGAATATTAGGACTATAATCCGCCATTCTAGTTCTTAGTCTAGGGTCTGCCTAAAGATTAGCTAATATCTCATCTACTTCAATTGGTCTTGCATTTGAACTACCCGGATTAAACGGAGAAAGACTATCCGTAGATAATTTTCTTTTAAAGAATTGTTTCATAAATCTACAAATCATTTAATTCAATCAATCATTAATTTTTATCCAAATTATCATATGAATATGAAAATGTCAATAACCCACTCTCAATATTCAATATACTCCCTAAACCCATATCGATCAATATTCAATATACCAAATTATCATATCTAATAGCAATCAATATTCAATATACTCAATCAATTCATATTATCAATCAAGCATAAACTCAATCAATCTACATTAATATGATTATCACTATGATTCATATCCATAAATTTAATTACATAAGAAAAATATATCAATATGATTCATATCCATAAATTTCAAGCATAAACTCAATCAATCAATATGATTCATATCCATAAATTTCATTACATAAAAAAAATATCAATATCAACAATATATATTATCATTATAATTATTAATATAAATTTTTCCATGCTTACTTGTAGTTAAAAAAAAGGGCGGCGGATGGCGGCAGAAGGTGGTGGTGATCGGCACTAGGCCACCGGCGAAGAGTTGATGGAGGTTGTCGAAGGTTGGGAGGTTGGGAGAGGTTAGGTTTTGAGAGGGTGGGAAGAGGAGCTGTGAAATTGGGAATGAAGGGTTTGGAGGCAGAGTCGAAGTGATGCTATGTTCTGTTTTATTTATTTATTTATTTTAAACCTGGCCCAAAATGACATTGTTTTGAGGCCAGGTCAATTAAAAAAAAATTTGACTGAGCCTTGGACCCAACGACATCGTTTGGCAAGGCTCATTTAAAAATAAATAAATAAATAAATAAAAGGATGCGCAAGGCGCAGCACAGCTGCGCAGCAGAGCTCACCAATAGCCTGAGACTTTTGTCGAGCACTTGGTGTGCATACAAGGGGACTTCCAGCAACTGTCCAAGGGGGCTTTCATGGAGTCCCTTGCCAACTTTCCAGCCTTCCAAGGGGTTGTCCGACCCTTCTTGTCCCAACGTGCGTCCACCCCTGCATGAACTCAATTGTGCTAGAGAGAGAGAAAAGTTGCTGGATGGATGAGTTGGGATGTGGCAAGGGGTGGGGGTGTAGTTAGGATCAATGTTTTGAATGGCGAGGCATTGAAGTGAGGCGTTTTATGTCTTGCAAAGCGAAGCGTAAACCTTGAGGTGATAAGGTGCAAGCCTTTTGTTTTCTTTTTATTTTTATTTTATTATTTTACTATTTTGGTTATATGTATTTGATTTGATTTGATTTAAATTTATTATTAAATTATAAAAAAATAAAAAAAAAAAAAAGAAAAAAAAAAAAAAAAAAAAAAAAAAAAAAAAAAAAAAAAAACAAACGTAAGGGCTAAATTGGCTTTTTGATAAGTTTAAGTGCAAAATTGGCTGACTTTTTAGTTTGAGGGGTTAAGTTCGACTAGGATCATAGTTGAGAGGGGGGGGGGGGGGGGGGGGGGGAATGACACTTTAGCCTTTAATAAATGATTTCAAAATAAAGGGTATAATGGTAACTTCATCCAATTTTTTTATTGACCAAATTGGATCAAGATTCTCTCCTCATCTCCTTCCCTCCTAAACAAAAAAAATTACTTATAACGGGGATAGCAAATGCTATCCCCAGCCAATAACACAATGACACATAGAAAAGTTATCATATGTGTCATTGCATTATTGGCTGAGGATAACAAAATACTAAGCTAGACTACGTTGGCAAGGCCAATACAAAGACGTTAGGATTTAGTGAAAATATGTTTTCTATGGAATTGATTTCAACTGAGCATCATGAACAATTTTATTTATCAAATCATATGGAGTTCATAACTATGATCACTCATAGAATTGGTTAAATCTGGTTTTGAGTTAAAATTCATATTTCAATGAAAATCTATTTTCTATTGAGTTGATTTCAAAATATGAATATATTTATATCAAAACTTATTAGCCTTGCTAAAATATGAATGGAGTTTTAGGAGCAATGGTCCCTCAACTTACACTCGATTTGCATTTTCGTCCCTTAATTCGCAAAATGGTTGTGATGGTCACTTAACTCCGATTTGGTTAGCAATTTTCTTCATGGCTCCACTTTCATTACAAGAATCTATTAAAATGAAGGGTAAAATTGTCTTTCAAGGTCGTTTCCATTTCCCACCCTTTTGGGTCTTCTTCCCTCTCTCGATTTAGATGCAGCCCCCACCAAAAAGTAACCCTAAATTGCAAATGTCCTCTTGATAACGGCTGCGTCCACTACTCTTGAATTGTGTTCAGAACTTGTTGAAGCTTGGTGAATAGGGTTGTAGGTAAGATGTGTCAGTCTTCATCATCATCATCATCATCAATGGATTCATACCAAAATCTCAATTCGTTAAAGTACTACCATTGTGAGAGCTTAATGAACAAAAGTTATATCTCGCAAGTGCACGAATTAATATGATAGTATAGCAAGCAAATATGAAAGTCGTTCTCACAGAGATTTGTAAAGTTTATCAATTAATTCCAAATATGATTACCTTAAGAAAACTAGAAAATAAGAATGAAATATTAAAAATATTAAAATAGCCGAAAATACGATTACTCAATTTTAATCTAAATGCCGAAAATTTGAAGCAAAAAAATAAAATAACAAATGTTGAAAATTGGTTTTGAAAATCAATGGATGAATATTCGGTCTCCGACTTCACCATAACAATCCTATTCTACGTATCGAGTTAATTTTGAGAATAAAGTTTCAATTCAATTCCAAGGGTTTGTTCTTTCGTTATTATGATTATTTGTTTAGTCGTGGTGTCACCAAGTATCCTCAATTAAACCCAACTGATGAACCTTATAGCCAAATTTAAAGGACAACCCATTAAGTTCAAGAAGAACAATAAAAAACCAAGAAGTGTCTTAGATTGAACCCAGGCTTCAACAGTAACTCATTCATTCATAGTGCATATAAGATTATGGATGAACCCTTTGATAAGCCTACAATTTATATGTATTTTATACCTCGTTTACTTATTTATTTGTTAATTTCCTTGGGTTAAATTGGTTGTTTTAATTGGTTTTGTGAGATTTGTGAAGGAACTATGGAAATAGGATAAAGTGTGCTAAAAAGGGTAAGAAGATGAAGATTGGAGATTAATCAAGTCAAACAAGGAGAAATAAAGAAGACCATATTTTAGAAGGAATCCTACTTTTATAACAATTGTAATTATACCTTAGATAGGATTTCTAGGAGTCTTATAAATAGGAATTTTAGGTCATTGTTCAAAGGACCATCGACCATCACCCATCACCCATCATCCTCCATATTCATACTCATAGCCTAAATATCCAAGGAGAATACGAAGAAAGCTTGCGCAACCTTGGCATTCTACTTGGAGAATTCGGTGCATTCCATGTCTTCATCAACCATCATGATTCTCAATAAGTCATTCATGAACTAATTCCTTTTACTAGGGCTACGGTGTAGCCTAGCTATGAATACTCAAATTCTTTGATATTGTTAATTTTATTTATCTATACATGTTGAGTGCTTGTTACCGTTCTTAATGCTTTCAATTAATTGGCCACTAATTGCATGATTGGAAGAATTAGGTTGAGACCGAAAGGAGATTCCTAGTAAATAGCTTCTTGTAACAAGTACCATAAATTATATAGCCGACTCGGAAGACTAGGTTATGGTTTGTGTAATCTTTATTGTTTTCCACAAATCTTAACGGGTTCTTAGCTATCTAAATCCATAACTAGAAATAGAGTGGGTTGACTGTAAGTGAAGGTGGATAAATTCATATTCCCAGCTGATTTCATAGTTTTGGATATGGAAGAAGATGTCGACACTCCAATTATTTTAGGCCGCCCATTTCTCATTACGGGAAGAATGATAATTGACGTAGAAAAGGGTTCTTTGATCCTACGAGATGCCGATCAAGAGGTGGAATTCAAAGTTTTTGATGCAACCAAGTATCCCATTGATTCAGAGTATTGTTTCCGTGTAGAAGCAGTAGATCATGTTGTTCGACCGCAATTCATGGGGGACTACCCAAAAGATCCACTAAAAGCAAGTTTGGTTCATGAGATAGAGGGAGGAGAAGAGCCACACGTGCTCAAAATGGTAAACTCATTGGAAACAAAGGCTGTCCCAATCACCATTGCCGCACCAACCCTCACTTTGCAAAGATACTTGGAAGCAAATTGCAATCAACAAAAGGAGACCTTCACTCTCCATGATCCCGGGTGATAATCATTCCAAAAGTCAAGCCGAGGACTATAAACCAAGCGCTTGTTGGGAGGCAACCCAACTAGGTACATTCGTTCCTTTCTTTTCAATTTTATTTTTATTTTTCATCCCTCTATGCCTTTACTACTCATTACATGCATTTACTTTAAACATTGAGAACAATGCTTAGTTTAGGTTTGGGGGTGTGGAATTTTGTTGTTTATGTTGTTTTTGGAGGTTTAAGTCATAAAGAAAAAGAAAAAAAAAAAATAGATTTTATTTTCCAAAGAAAGGATTTTGTGTTTCAAAGAACATTTCTTGAATTTTTCTAGCCCCAAGATGATTGCAAACATGTTGCAGATGTGTTATAGATGTTCTTTTGGTCATTATATGACTTTAAAACCCAGAAAATAGCAAAAGAGGTTATTATGTTCTTATTTTGGTCAAAATAAAAAATTTTGCCTATTTTCCTTTTTGATGTTTTTCAGGTAAATTTGAAGCCACCAACATGTTTAGAATGGTTATTATGATGATTTGAAACAGGTTTGGGGGTCTCAAGTGGTTTACATGACGTTTTAGGAAGGTTTGAAGCTAAAAAAGTGGCCTAAAACCAAAAAAAAGGCATCTGCAATTTGCCCAGAAATATGAAGATTTTTCGTCACAAAAGGGTTTTCAGCGATGGTGTTCATAAGATTTTTCGTCACTAAAGGTCAATTTTCCAGAATTTTCTGATTTCATTCCAAATCAATTATGATCTATTCCATTCGTGATCAGAGGTTTCTAGGAGCTATTCCAGGTGTGTCCTCTTCCTTTTAATGAATTTTTTTTTTATTCTTAAGCAATTAGAACTCATAAATTCACTCATATTTGTTTACAAAATCACAAAATTCCTTTAACTTTTGAAAAAAAAATAAAAATTTGTTAAAGCTTGTACTTTCTCTTACTAATAGTGATGTATATGTAATGTTTGATCATATTTCTTTAACTAAAGTGTTGCCATGAACGTTTATGCATCATAATTATAACACTTCACATAGCCATGCTTAAAGTATTTTTATGGACAAGGTAGCTATACTTGGATGATTGTGGAGAAATAGTGGAGACTACCATTGTGAGATACTTGAGCCAAATTGCCATTCATTGAGAGAGTATTGGGAATTATTCTTATTCACTATTTTCTTTCTTTCTTATTTAGATTGATCTCAATTAGGCTTTTGAATTGAGTACTAAGAACTAATCTCTATTTTGTATGAATCATCTTATGCTTTCACTTTTGAGTTGGATGGACCTTGAGAGATGATGTTAGGCTATGCATGTTCTAACCAATAAATAAAGCCTCATGTCTTACCCATTGTGTGTGCCATCAACCCTTTGAAGCCAAACACTTAGCCTTTTATTTCATCACCCACAATATTTCATTACCCTTTTTACCCTATTTTTAGCCATACCCTATAACTTGGGATATGCCATGGCACATGAAGAAAAGGATGAAGGTTAAACTTTAAATCAACAAAAGAGGTGGCGTGTACCAAGAAAATATGTGCTCAAAAAAAAAAGGAAAAAAAATAAAGAAATATAAAAAAAGGAAAAAAAAAAAAAAAAAAAAAAAAAAAAAAAAAAAATTGCATATCAAAAATCCTGGACGCTTTTGTGAAGTAAATTTGAAAAGCCAAGCCTTATAACATGATAAATGCCTTGGTATGTCTCAAGTTCTAGTATTTCCTTCCCTTTCTTTCATAACCCATAACCTAGCCCTTCATTACAACCATAGTGAAGACCTAACGGATCTTTGAGGACTTCTTACTCAGAAGTGGAGGTATGTACTTCATCTGTGGTTCTTAGTATTTGATTTCCTTTCCATGAGATCTACTTTCAGAAATTGCCTTTTATTCATTTTGGATGCATATGTGTCTTACATTTTGATTTCTTTACCTAACTTCATTCACATATGCTAGGTAAGAGTGCAACCCTAGGTTCTGTGAGAAAATTGAGAGTTATCCTGTGAGGCTTAGAGTCAAGGCGAATTTGTACACACGCCAAGTGTGGTTATCTTTAAGTTCGAGTGCTTGGAGTATTGGCTTTACACTTACACAATGGTGCATTTTATTTGTAGTGGCATAACTTTAGTTTTTGAATTGTGATTGACATTCATTGGTTATTATTAGTTTGTTGGAAGTATTGCTTTAACGAATTTGTTTTGCAAGAAGCGTTTGTGGGTGTCGTGACTGGTAAACCCTCAGGAGACACAACTCCTCCTACTAGGGACACCTAGAGGTTTAAAGGCTTGTGGCACATGCTAAGTGCCATCGAGATTACCTACGAAAGTGGTTTAGTTTAGTTTGTTTGTTTTATTTTATTTTTGATTTTCAGTTTTGCTCGAGGACTAGCAAAAGATAGGTTTGGGGGTATTTGATAAGCCTATGATTTATATATATTTTATACCTCGTTTACTTATTTATTTGTTAATTTCCTTGGGTTAAATTGATTGTTTTAATTGGTTTTGTGAGATTTGTGAAGGAACTATGGAAATAGGAGAAAGTGTGCTAAAAAGGGTAAGAAGATGAAGATTGGAGATTAATCAAGTCAAACAAGGAGAAATAAAGAAATCCTACTTTTATAACAATTGTAATTATACCTTAGATAGGATTTCTAGGAGTCTTATAAATAGGAAGTTTAGGTCATTGTTCAAAGGACCACCGACCATCACCCATCACCCATCATCCTCCATATTCATACTCATAGCCTAAATATCCAAGGAGAATACGAAGAAAGCTTGCGCAACCTTGGCATTCTACTTGGAGAATTCAGTGCCTTCCATGTCTTCATCAACCATAATGATTCTCAATAAGTCCTTCATGAACTAATTCCTTTTACTAGGGCTACGATGTAGCCTAGCTATGAATACTCAAATTCTTTGATATTGTTAATTTTATTTATCTATACATGTTGAGTGCTTGTTACCGTTCTTAATGCTTTCAATTAATTGGCCACTAATTGCATGATTGGAAGAATTAAGTTGAGACCGGAAGAAGATTCCAAGTAAATAGCTTCTTGTAACAAGTACCATAAATTACATAGCCGACTCGGAAGACTAGGTTATGGTTTGTGTAATCTTTATTGTTTTCCACAAATCTTAATGGGTTCTTAGCTATCTAAATCCATAACTAGGAATAGAGTGGGTTGATGTAAGGAATACACAACTGATATGACTCAGAAGAGAGTATTGGTGAGGTAAGGAAAAACGATTATCAACATGTTAGGTAATTAGAATTAACAAGCTAGAAGGATTTGGGTGGGATTAGCTAGGTGAAATCGGCGCCCTAGTGCTTTATCATCTTTGTTTTCATCTTTTACATTATTTTCTTAATCTCAATTTATTTTGTTTGCTTAATTAGATTTTAATCATCATAATTCTCTTTTTGTTAAATTCAAATATAATTAGAAATAAATCACTCTAGTATTTAATAGATTATTTGATCCCTATTGGAACGATACTTACTACTATATTAATTTGAACGATATTGTCCACTTGCAATTAATCACATCACCCCTCACCCAACGTTATCTTAGACAATCCAAAATACCTATAATGGCCAATTACAAGTTTCAATTTCACAATTATAATAATGAATGAAACAAGTAATATAAATTGATTAAAGTACACTACAAGAAAATAAGCCTTAGTTGACGCTTTTTGCAAAACCATCAACTATGTTACAAAACTCTTAGTAGGTTTACTTGATGTTTTACAAAAACGTTAACTACATATCACTTTCCTTGACACTTTATCAAGAACGTCAACTCTATATCACTTTTCCTTGACATTTTATAAAGAATGTCAACTTTATATTACTTTTCCCTGGCATTTTACAGAATGCAATTAAAACTCGTTTATACCTGACACTTTCTAAAATATCCTTAGGAAAACAAGCGCACTAGCTCGCAGGCCTTCCTTTTGCACAAAATTTATCCAAGTGTTTTGCCCTATATTCAACTCCTCTTCCTCTTGGTCACCACATTTTCCCTTCATTTCAAAACCAAAAATATCAGAGTCCCTAGGGTTTTCCACTATTTCTTTATTTCTTAAATTGGATACATAAATTCTTAAAGAATGTGAATATCAAATCTTAGTGGGCTCATGCTCGGCTAGTTGGGGTGGCAACAATTCATGTGTATTTCTTATCTATCCAAAGTTATTAGTTCATATGAATGTATTTTTGCCCGACTCTATTCATCTTTCTTTCTCTTCAGTATTTTCTCTCTATGTACATCTCTCATAAAGTTTTGTGTTATCTCTCTATTCCTTAGGTACCTGACATGAATCTCACTCAATCTCAAGATGCTTCGGGGAGTTGAACCAAAGAGAATGTTGAAATGGGAGAAAAGTGAGGATTTTTAACAAACAATCAAGAATATTGAAGAGTTTGCTGCCGACAAAGAACTGGGTTTGCGTTCTTTATTCTCCAATATTCCTAATTTTTTCAAGCTTTATAGGTGGGCAATGTCTCTACATATCTGAACTACAATTAATCGAATTCAAAAAAATTAGCATAATTTTTAAGTAATATAATTATCACTCTCTAGTCAAGTTTAGTTGAGTAGTGGAGTTAGATTCCTTTCTTCTTATCTTTCCCCTGGATTTGAATTGTATTCTTTCTATCTTATAAGGAAATTAGGATAGTTCCTCTTCTTTTTAGTTAGTGGCGGCTAGGAGTGCCCACCACCTACTCGACATTTTCCCTCAATGAATTAACTACACCTCTTTATATTTAATCAACATATCAATATCATTTTCTTTATAAAAAAATTCAAAATATCTATCTGTCTTGTAAAAAAAAAAATCTTTGTTCGATGATCAAATTGATTAGGAAAGGTTCTTATGCTAATATAATATAGGTTATAGGTCTTTTCGTGAACTTTTTAATGCTTTTGTGTTTTAGTTTTTGTTAAGTTGGTGATATTATGTTGGAAATCTTGTGTCTTTTCGTGAACTCCTTCAAAGATATCACTATCTTGTGTCTTTTGGTAATGTATGAGTGGTTGTTTTGATATAATTAATAACTACAAATTGATATCAGTAGCTTTTTTATTTAGAAAGGAATATATATGTGCTTATTGGCAATAGAAATATACTATTTTAATTTAATTAGGATGATTCTATTTTTTAAAAAAAACCTATAGATTTGGAAGAAATTGATTACCAATTTTAATCATACTTTTCTGGTATTAGGTTAGTAATTGCAGCGAAGTATTATTATTATTATTATTATTATTATTTTGGTATAAAAGAAAGTATGATTTACAAATTTCTATACATTTCTATTTATGTATTGCATTGTAAGATTAATTCTTATCTTGGTAATGTGTATGACCATTGGTGAAAAGAATGAAGTGCCCTATATTGCAGGGAAGGTTTTTTTAGTTTGAAATGGATAAAACTTGGATGTCAAAAGATCAAATGTCAAAAGAATATGAAGAGCAATTTATTGCGTTTACTGTAAGTCATGCAAGTAACCCCATATATAATAATTAATAATTATATTTGTAAGCCACGAAAGGCTTAATAACAACGCCCAAGCCATAAGATTTCTTCTTTACTAGCTATATATATATTCGTGATATGATAATCATCCAATTTGGCCATTGTTTTTGGCTGGGGCGAGTTACTAGGCTACAAAGAGGTTTTGAATTATTCTCATAAGGTGGGTCCTAGACACTACTTCCATCATTTTGAACTTAGAACATTCTCAGGTCACAAAACCATTACCCAAAGCCAAGGACTATTTTTAGCTTCCAAACTCTTGCTCACCTTGGAATTATCAAAAAGACCCACGTGGGTCTGACTTGACCACTCTTCCAGCCAAGTCCTTGACTTGTCCCAGCCAACTCTTCCACCATTCTTCCAGCCAAGTCCATTATCCAACCAACTTCAAAAGGCCATTCACTTGGCCATTCTATTTATACTAATATATATGTGAATTGTCCAATAGTTATAAACCAAAACCAATCTGCATAAAGTTGGCATCAAGTAGCCAACTTTTCAACCAAGGATCAACGTGGGCCAACCTTGGCCTTATATTTCTTCTGAAAGATCTTTTATGATCTATTGTTTAAAATTCCTATGCCCACAACTCTAAAAACTCTAGCCAATTGTTCATTTATGGAAACTCAACAACCATTATGGTAAAAGCTCAGCTCAAGTAACCAATTTTTCTTTCACCATTCCGGCTGCCATTGCTATTGAAGGAAACCTACACTCCAACTGATTTTTTGGTGGTGAGAATTCTACATTCTCTTAAACCCATTGGTTGGCCCCAAGCCAAGCTTGTGGGTCTTGCCATTCAATTTTTTTTATTATTTGACTATTGCTATTATAAATAACAATATCTTTGTTTTGGCTAGGCCTTTGGGTTTCCACTTGACTTGGTTTGAGATTTGGTATCCTTGACTTGGCTTGGAATTGAGACCACTTGGCTAGGCTTGAATTTGGTGACCACATCCAAACATTGCCCCCTTGATTCCTTGGCCTTCAATTGGTGAGAGGGTAAAGTGAATCAAAATTCTCACGACTTTTAGTTTTCTCCGAATGTTTCAACTTCATGCTTCACTGTAGCAATTTATGGTTTGTGAGTTAAATTGATGTTTAAGGAGATACCCTAATCAATTCTTGAGAGATCTTTGAACTTCATATCCGTTAGAAAACCTAGGCATTATAAATACCAATTTGGCTCCAAACATTTCTCCATACTCAAAACTCCATTGTCATTGCTCTTAGAAAACTTTCTCCCACCAAACCTAAACTTTGCTTCCTAGATTCACCATTTGATAGGCCAAAGAACCATTCAAATCACCACCAAATTCGTTAGTTTGCGAGTTTTCAAGTATGTTGAACTCTTTTCTGGTTGATATTGTTGTGATTTTGATGAATGGTGGCCATTGGAAGCTCATTTTTTAAACTTTTGAAAGTTTGAATGTTCTTCATGTTCTTGGAAATTTTTTTCTGTTTTGCCATTATATTTTTCTTGATCCAAATAATATTTGTGTTTATAGGATGGATCCAGAGTTGAATTCCATCATCTCTCACTTGGCCAAGTTGAAAATAGGTCATGGCTGAAAGTGAACAACAACCCGAGGAAGCCTACGCCATCAAATTACAAGGTGATGTCCCAAGATACGTTCTTGGCCCTTTGTACCTACTTCAACCTCTAGATGAAGTGGTGAGGATTTGGGCTGAACAAAGTGATGATCCTCCACCTTTGACCATGGAGTTCAATTGGAAATCAACTTGGGAAGCTCTTTGACCTTTCAAAGGTTGGCCATGCAAAACTTCTGAGGTTGACTATGTGGCTAAGAAGAAGTCCAAAGCCAAGAAACCCAACCCAGAGGCCGACGTTGATCCTAAGAAAAGTTGGTATGATTGGTACAAAGCTTTGGAACCAAAACTGAAGACTTCTTGGCAAAAAAGCGAGATCTATGATATCTTGGCTTTTTTCGCCTCCGGGGACTTTCCTTGTGATTGCTCACTCATCTTTGCAGGCTTATGTTTTTGGTCATCCTCTGTTAACTACATGAGGTTACGGTTTGGGATGATGACCCCCACTTTACTTGATCTTGCCACTATCTCCAGCTTTCGTCCACACGGTGTGCTTTATTCAGCAGCCGACCTTCTGGAACCCCTTTTGAAGCCGAACTACAACAAGAATTTCAACAACTGGATCAAGACCAACTTTGGTTATACTGGGTCATCCTCTAGAGCTCCGATAGGTTCAACAAATGGTGTATCTTACACAGAGCATGTAGCCTTTCTTCATATGTGGCTATGCATATTATTGACTTGCTCAAAATCTTGCCAAGTCACCAAAGAGGTCTAACCTTTGGTTGAAGCTCTTGCAAATGTCCAAATAGTGGCCTTGGGTCCCATATTTCTGGCCTATCTTTATAGATGCCTTCGTGATATTGTTTTGCCCAAACCCATGTCATGCAACCCTTCAGGCCCGATTTGGCTTTTTCAACTGTGGCTCCAAGTTTACTTCCTGGAGTTGGGTCCAGCCAACGTCACATTCCGGGGTGACTCACTTCTAGGAAAATCAATTGCTAACCTCCCCTTGCCCAAACATCATGTTGAGGATTGCTTTCGATTTTTCTATAGATGTTCATAGAGGTCGCCTAGTGACTTATCCATGTGCTGAGATCATCGCTACCCGGGTTATTTGGTCTTGGACCTTTCTAGCGTCCCCACACTGGAGACCAAGAAAGAACGACGAGAACTTTGGGCAAGTATCTTAATCAGTCGAGATCTTCCTTATGGCCTTGCATTGAACAAAGGGAACCATTACCCTTGCGGCTACGAGGTTTACTATCCTGCTACCGTTGGTCGTCAGATGGGTTTTATTCAGGGTGTTCCATCTCCCATGGTTGACTCCCACAACTATTTTTCCTCATGGAGAGTATCTTTTAAGAGAGCAAGCGAGGTGAATTCTGTGGTGACTTTAATCATGAGCTGGTCAAAGTTTTTAATTTCTAAATTTGGCTTCACCGAATCCTTCAAGGCTTGGTGAGGGAAAATATCAACCACTTGGTTTTCCCAACCTTTTGAGGTCCATGTGGAGAGGATCTTCCGGGCTTACGCTTGCTCTTCCACTTATTACAGTTTTAAGCAAGGTAAACTTTTAGTCATCACTTTTCATTTTATATGCTAGTCTTATTAGTCTACCAACATCTTCACCTCTTGCAGCCACAAAAGAGGCAAATGCCGACTCTAGTCATAGTCAAGGTGAGAACAGGCCACTTCCCTCCACCTAAGGTAAGCTAACTTTTGTTGGACTTCTGGCAATTTCCCATTTAATCTCAGATTTTTTAAAAGCTAATATTTCTGATGCTTTCTTCCAGATGTTGGGGAGGATCGAAACTCCTCCGGCTACGATGTTGAGATTCCACCAGCTGATGACATCATCCTTGCTCGATCGAGAAAGATCCCGAGGAACCTATTGCCCCAAGTATGATCGGTTTTTTTTGTTTTTGGAATTTTAATTAAACTTTGGCCTTATAGGCTCGAGTAGGATAGTAGAGCAACCCAATCCGACTCACTTGACCATGGCCACTCACTCAGCCATTTCTTCTTCGGCCATTCCGATAAGTTTCATTCTCACTACATTTCCCACTTTATTCCTAGTATTTTCTTAACTTGTGGTTTAAATGTAGGAATTTCAAAGTCCCATATTTGAGACTGAAGTTAGTGGACAAACTGCTACTGCTGAGGCTGAAGTTGAGGTAGGCTTCTTTGGCCTATCTTGGTCTAATTTTCCATATTTTAATTTTAATTATAAAAAAAAACTTTGTTTGGCGAATTCAGACAGAGGTTATTGGTGCTAACCTTTCCACCAACCCAGATGTTATCATGGTCAAGACTCAACAAGTCACCCAGCCATCAAGAAGTCGTGAGGTTGATCACGAAATCATTGATGACCCGTCCCACATTCTAGATCATCAGGTAATCTTGGAATCTCAACTCCATCAAATTTTTATATACGATAACTTGGCCCCTGTCCCATTATTAAAACTTTGAACCATTTTAGGTAGTTTCTCTTAGTCTCAAGACCATCTCGATTGACCCAAGAACAGTTAGATAGGAAGTTCAAATTTTACCAAATCACTCCTCGGATCCCCGAGACCTGACCGACTATTCCACAGATGGTCAAATTCTTCAGGTAATCCCACGTACAACATTATTTTTACATATTCTAAAGCCTTTCGAAAAATTATATTTTCTCACTTTGGTGAATGTTGTGGATCATCAAACCACTTCGGCCAATTAGACGGCCAATGTCGGTGGTGTACTTCCGGCCATCCCAGTCACATTGAGCGACTAGCTTGCATCACGGATCCCTCAACCGTCATCAGATGTGTCCACACCTATTCTGACATATCATCAACATGAGGTATGTCTTGATGTCTTGCTTTTCAATGTTTAAATATTGTCCCAACTTATCTGATCTCATGCTAGGTTGGAGAACCTATTATGCCCGATCTCTCTTTGTTCGGGCATGTACAGCTGGAGCTTTGGTTGAGAGTGGCAGTGAACAACCACTATCGACATACCAAGATGACCTTATTCAGTCGCTTCTGGACCATGTAAGCATCACTTGCGAATCCATCTGATTCATTTTTCCATAATTTGGAACTTCTGATATTCATGTAATCTAATTGGTAGGCCCCTGGCGACATCTTTGCTTATCTTGATCAGTGGGATGCTTCTGCCACTACTGTTGAGGCTTCCACTTGTCATGCCACTTCTTCGACTGTGGCTGGGGTGCTTCCAAATCCTACAGCTGAGGCCCTAATTCGATCTTATAAAAATTGAGATTGCATATCCTTGGCCGACTAGGATGAGAGAGACATGGTCAAAGCCACTATTGAGGCATTTCGGTCACTCAGCTTATAAGCTCATTTCCCTAAAATTTGGTGGATGAGGAATGGGTCTTTCCAAGTCAGAGACCACTTGCCAAACTTAGGATCCTTAGATCCAATCGGAAGGATGGTCTTCCACACTAAATCCCCAACTCCAAAACTTTTGGCCTTAGTTCTTTTGTCATATGCTCGGGCCACCATTTCCTTTTGTGCCTTGAGCTTGTCCAAGTGATCCAAAACTTCTAGTCGATAGAACTATGAATTCCTAGTTTATAGGAATAAGGGAACGAGAGGAATTTTAAGACAATTTAGAGAAACAAAAGGAAGAAGCTAAGGAACTGCTTTGAGTTCTGCCTGTTTTAATTCATTCAACTACAATGGTTTATATACAAGCCTGAATGCCTAGAATAGAAAACTAAAAATAATAAATGAATTTAAACCACAAATGTTAAATGGTTTAAATTCTTTAGGTAATTCAAACCATTAATTTTTAAATGGTTCAGAACCATTTCTTCTTAAACCATTCGAGTCGAATGGTTGATAAATTATTTAATTTAATTAATATTTATTATTTAATTATCTTGAAAAGATCCACCTGGATCATGGCTCTCCCATTTAAGACCTTGAGCTCCTGCTCAAGTTAAATGGTGAGATGTGGAAATTCTTGAGTAGCCTTGTCTCGAATATACCATTTCGATTTGCTGGGAAGTTGCCCTTTACTGCCAATACGAAAATACTCATACTTTCCATGTCGGGTCTCACGAACCTTCTGCTCCAAGATACAATCCTTCAGCAAAGGGTCTTCTAGTTCAATTTTTAAGTCATCAACTGATGGAAGCCGAATGTCTTCGTCGGGATCATCATCAAGTAGAGATGGCTCAAAAAGCTTAAGATTCTCGGCATTGATGACCGAGTACATATGCATGTATGGTGGTAATTCAAGTTGAAAGGCATTATCACCAATTTGTTTGATGATCTTGAACGGTCCATAACGAATAGGCTTCAGTTTCTTGCCTTCACCTGTTAGCCGCTCCTTTCCAAGGTGTAACCATACTAGGTCACCTTCTTTGAAGTTACATGGCACACGATGCTTATCATGGCGAGCTTTATATCGTTGCTGAGAACGTTTCAATTATGCCTCCACTTCAGTATGAATCTTTCTGACTCGTTCGAGAAATTTATGTGCTCGAATATGTTCTTCTTCTTCTTTCCCACATAATGGTTGGTCACTCATAGTGAATGCTAAATCAAAAGGACTTTGGGGTAAATAACCCAAACAAACCTCAAATGGAGATTTGAGTGTAGAGCCATGAATTGTTCGGTTGAAAGCAAACTGTAAGTAAGGGAGACTTTCATCCCAAGTCTTCGGATGCTTGGAATTGTAACCCCTCAACAAGTGTACCATAGTCCGGTTTACGACCTCCGTTTGCCCATCTGTCTGTGGATGAAATGCAGTGCTTCTTTTCAATCTAGTATCCATCATTCCCCATAACGACCTCCAGAAATGGCCTAAGAATCGACTGTCTCTGTCAGAAATAATTGATGTAGGTAAGCCAAAATGCTTCCAAACATATTGGAAAAATAACTTAGCAGCTCCTTCTCCAGTTACGGTCTTCTTGCATGGAATGAGAATCACCATCTTACTGAAACGATCTACCACCACAAACAAGTAGTCATTTCCAGACTTGGTTTTAGGCAAGCCACCTAAGAAATCCATCGAGATACTCTCCCAAGGTCGAGTAGGTACTGGTAATGGAAGATACAGTCCTAACTTCCTGTTGGAAGGCTTCGATGTGTTGCATAGAACACAACCTCGAATGTATCGTGAAACATCGAGATGCATCTTTGGCCAATACACATAGCGACGAAGATTCAATAAAGTCTTCTCAACTCCAAAATGCCCTGCTACTTTAGAAGTATGAGCCTCACGAATCCATTGCAATCTGTCACCATCTTCTGGAATGCACAATTGTGTTCCCTTATACATTAGTCCATCTTTCAATTGAAACTCACTAGTCTTTCCTTGTTCCAGCTTGGCATAGGCTGAGTTGAAATCAGCATCTGTGTCGTACCCTTTGGCATATTCAGAAGGAACAATGGGTTGGATTTTCATAGCCACCAGCAATGCGGAACTAACTGGTGTAGGTGGTCTAGATAACATATCTGCCAACTTATTAGTTGCTCCCTTCTTGTACTTTATCACAATACTGAATTGTTGTAGGTAAGACATCCATTTCATATGGCGAGCTTGCTGTAACTTAGACTGTGTAGTTAAAAACTGAAGAGGTTTATGATCTGAGTGAACTACGACTTCTTTTCCCAACAAGTAAGCTCTCCAATGCTTCACTGCTTGATGCATTGCATACAACTCCTTGTCATAAGTCGGATAATTCAATACCGGTCCACTAAACATCTCAGAATGGTATGCAACTGGTTTCCCATCTTGAAATAATACGGCTCCCATAGCATAGTTCGATGCATCTGCTTCCACTTCAAATGGTCTCTGCAAATTCGGTAATGCTAATACTGGGGCCTCTGTAATCTTCCGTTTCAACAACTGGAAAGATTCCTCATGGTTTCTCGACCATTCAAATTTTTGATTGGCCTTTGTTAGAGAATGTAAGGGTGCTGCAATTTGTGAAAAGTGCCGAATAAACTTTCGTAAATATTGACATGCACCTATAAAGCTCCGAACTTCAGTCACTGTTTGGGGAAATAGGCCATTGAGAAATCACCTGCACTTTCTCTAGGTCCACTTTCAGTTCTCCTGCACCAACAATGAATCCCAGGTATACAAGGTGTTGTTTCCCAAATTCACACTTCTTACCATTTAACTGTAACTGATTTGTTCGTAGAACCTCCAAAACTTGAGCAATATGATGAAGATGTTCCTCCCATGTGACACTAAATATAAGAATGTCATCTAAGTATACAATGACGAAGTCGTCAATGAAAGGGCGGAGTACCTCATTCATCAATCGCATGAAGGTAGCTGGAGCATTGCATAATCCGAATGGCATGACTAACCACTCGAATAGTCCCTGCTTTGTTTTGAATGCAGTTTTCCAAGTATCTTCGTCATGGATGCGGACTTGGTGATAGCCAGATTTGAGATCAAGCTTAGTGAAGTAGCGTGCACCATGTAGTTGATCTAGTAGGTCATCAATCCTCGGCAATGGATACCGATTCTTAATGGTTATTTTGTTGAGTGCCCTATAATCTACACACATACGCCAGTCTCCGTCTTTCTTAGGCACAAGTAACACTGGCGAACCACATGGTGAGCAGCTGGGTTTGATGACTCCTTGTTCAAGAAGTCCTTGAATTTGCTTCTTGATCTCGTCAGATTCCGTCACAGAAGTACGATACAAACCCAAGTTTGGTAGAGGTGAATCTCCTACCAACTGGATCTCATGCTCCACAGCTCTCCGTTGTGGCAAACCCTGCACATCATGAAATAAGTCCTTGAACTTTTCCTGTAATTTCCCTATGTCTGAGCATTGTGCAGGAGATAAAGACAATGTAGACAATGTCACAGCTCTAGAACTCTGATCTTGCGGTCGAATCATCAACAAAACGAATCGCCCACATGAATTGACTAACCTCTTGGCTTGGTTAGCTGTCAGCAAATTATCTGTAAGCAAATTATTTGTAGCTTGAGGCTTGCAAGCGTTGATGTGGAACTCCTTCCCATCTTTCACAAGTCGATACTTGCGAAGCCTTCGATAATGGATGGCATCTCGGTCCCATAAATATGGACTACCTAATATGACTTGGCAAACATCCAAAGGAACCACCTCACATGTCACCTCATCGATATATCGATTGGTGATAGCAAATTTGAAGGTACATTGCTTCGTGATCTGTAAGTCAACATCCTTCTGAATCCATCCTAACGGGTACGGCTTAGGATGTGGTGTGGTGTTTAAACCCACTGTTCTTACTAAAGCCTCTGAAATCAGGTTTTTCTGACTTCCAGGGTCAATAATAGCTTGTACAACACTTTGCTTCACCTGGATATTCACATGAAACAGCTCTTCACGGTTGTACGTGTCTTCAGTATCTGCTGGTCTTGTCATAAGGGTAAGTGTAACATCAGGTTGCTTCAACTTTGGAAGCTCTTCTGCCCGTTGTGCAGTTAATGTGGCTTTTCTGTCATTTCTCCCCTGGTTGTTTTTCTCGCGCTTTGGCCGTAACTCTGGATGGAGTATCCAGCACTTGTCTTTGGCATGTCTGTTGGTTTGACAGTGATCACAGTAGACATTCTGTGTCTGACCTTCCTTGCTCTGCTTCCCCTTTTTCTGCCAGTCAGTTTTGTTGACAGGTTTTGATATGTCATCCTTCTTGTCAGTTCTTTTATTTTTTGCCTCAATGGCTATGGCCTTCACAGTAGCATCTTCAATAGTATCTACGGTGAACAATTTTAGTTCTTTCCGTATGTAGTCGGCAAGACCTCCGGTATACTTCATGAAAACGTCGTAGTCGTCAACGTCAATGTCCAGAACCATAGCTTGGTTGTGGAACTCTGTTGTATACTCTTGTACAGGCTGCCCAAATCTTTGTCTGAAGTGTTGCCACTTATACCATCTTTCATCTTCATAGCCAACTGGATAAAATTGTTTTCTCAAAAGCTTCTTGAAGTTCTTCCAAGTCAATTCTGAGACATCATACCGTCTCTGATAGGACTTCCACCATGTAAGGGCATGGCTTGAAAGTTTCAAACTCGCATATTTTATTTTTTGCACATTAGAATACTTATAAACTGTGAAATAAGTTTCTAATGTGTCTATCCAGTTATCTAGCTTTTCAGGATCAATATCTCCTTTATAAATAGGGATGTCAACCTTAAAATCAATCTTTAAGGTATCAATAGAATTTTTATTGTCACCTGATTCAGCTTCCTTTTTCGTTGGATCAGCTTGTATGTCGTCTTCATCTTCGCTATCCTCAACAACCTTTTTCTTGAGCTTTTGATCAGGCTCAGATGAAGTTGATGGACGTGAAGATTTTCCAGTCTTCAAACTCTCCACGAGTTTAAGGATTGATGCAGACAAGTTTTCAACTTGTTGCTCAAGTTTAGTGATGCGATCGCCATCACTAGATGTATCCTGTTTGTTTTCTCCAGTCATATTGTCTCTCTTGGACCTTGGCTTTCGGTGTACGAGCAAAGGACCTAAAAGTTCTTCTCCAGAAGCTTTGCGTTGGTTGCGAGTTGAGACCATAAACCACCGTCACCCTCTCGGATCTGGTGCTCTGATACCACTTGATCCAAAACTTCTAGTCGATAGAACTATGAATTCCTAGTTTATAGGAATAAGGGAATGAGAGGAATTTTAAGACAATTTAGAGAAACAAAAGGAAGAAGCTAAGGAACTGCTTTGAGTTCTGCCTGTTTTAATTCATTCAACTACAATGGTTTATATACAAGCCTGAATGCCTAGAATAGAAAACTAAAAATAATAAATGAATTTAAACCACAAATGTTAAATGGTTTAAATTCTTTAGGTAATTCAAACCATTAATTTTTAAATGGTTCAGAACCATTTCTTCTTAAACCATTCGAGTCGAATGGTTGATAAATTATTTAATTTAATTAATATTTATTATTTAATTATCTTGAAAAGATCCACCTGGATCACCAAGGCATCCACCCTCACTTCGTCAAGATCATCCAACTCTTTCGTCATTGCTTGGTTATACTCATCCTTACTCCACTCGCCATGACGGGCCACCCTCAATGATCTCACGGATATCTCGAGGGAAAGAACGGCATCATGGCCATAAGTGAGTGCAAATTGTGTCGTTCTGGTACCAGACCTTATTGAGGTCCTATATTCCCATAGAGTATTAAAAATGAAGGAATGTCATTCTTTGGGATTATTCTCAATCATTTTTCCCAAGATTCCCTTTATAACTTTATTACTGGCCTCAGCTTGTCCGTTCGATTGAGGATTGTATGGAGTGGATTGAGCCATTCTAACTCCCCAATTTCTTGTGGTTGCTTGGACAGCCTCCCCCATAAAAGTCATTCCTCGATTAGTCATGATGGATTCGGGTAGACCAAATCGGTGGATGATAGTCTTCTCGATGAATTCTAACACCTCGGCTTGGGTTACTTTCTTTAACGGGACGGCCTCCACCCACTTCATCCTCGAAAATAATGATCATTAAACCCAAAGTGTGGGTACCTCACTCGAGAGCATACAAGTATCTAATTAATAACCATACCCAACAACAAATTCTAACTCGACACTCAAGTTCCCTAGTCTCCACGTGTGCGCAACCTTTAAGAAGGTTTAAAAGGTCATTTTAGTACTTTTTGAAAGGTGAAACTACCTCGAAAGACTCACGGTCAACCGAGGGGTCAAACTTCCCATATTGGTCAACAGGCCCAGTGGGGCTCATGACCTCTGATTTCCGATCCAATAAAATTCTTATGCATACAATAACGTCCACTAAATAAGTCCTATAAGTTTGGTATCGATCGAGCAGTCGAATGTGAGCCAATCGCACGATCAGACGGCGCTCGCTTCACCTAACCCTAGCATCATTGATTCGAAGTATCCGAGACTCCAATTCTTGATTAGCAAGTTCCTACAGGACTTCAGGATCCTAGAAGTACAGAGAACACCATAATTGAAATTGGGACCGATTGAATAGTGTGAACCTACCGAACCCGGATATCGCATAATAGGCGCAATATCCGTTCGATAGTCAAACGACAACCAATTCCAAATCCGAGCATACCGTCGTGTTCAGGACGACAAAAGGAACATTTTAGAAAAGAATGGGTAGCCATCCTGTGGTCCACACACCACAACCCGCCGCGGCCAATGCCATGGCCCAAATAGCATTTGGAGTTCAAATCTCTAAAGGGATTACTGAAGAACTTTTCAAGGTAATAAAAACATCTCTTCCCTCTGTCTTCGCAAGAGGAATTCCAACATAAATTATGGTACTAACCATAGCGCCAGATGACTGGAGACATGCCATCATATCTTATTTGAAGGCTCCAAATGGGCTACATAGCAAACAAGTTCGGTAGAGGGCCCAACATTACGTGATAAGGGATGAGACACTTTTTCCCATTGGCCGATTGTTTTTTATTTTATATTTTATAAAAAAAAATTCTGTTTTCGGTTTCGTTCTTTCTTTTTCGCTTTTCTTGGCGTCAGCTTATGTTTTCAAGCTTTATAGACGACATCTCCCAAGTCTCATTTCATATTTTTACATCCCCTAAAACGAATTTCCACCGGAAGAAGATAGTAGATAAAGTAGAGAAATATCGACAGCAGTAGGTGTTCATAGTAGAGGAAGTAAAGAAATGCTCGCGACAAGATGTGTTGTTATGGGGTTGACTGGAATTTTGTTTTCGGTTGACTCCAACACCGATAAATTTGCACAGCAAGGCGCTCAATCGGACCCAAGTTGTAAATGTTGGAAATATGTTTTGTGTTCTTGTGTTCCCAATTCCTACAAGCTTTTATATGTTTTAAATATGGGAATATTGTATTTATTTTGGAGAGTTATGGCTTTGACTAGGAATATAGATTATATTTTGTTTACTTCGGTCGAAATTAAATTACTATGGGTTACTTATTGGTTTATGCTATAGGGATTTCTAGATCCCTCGTGGTACTAGAGAATTTTTTGGCCACATAACTTGATATTCTTCTCTTTTGCTGTTTGCCAACTTTTTTGGCCTAAACATGTGCTTCGTTTATGTTGTTGGGTTATTTCTTACGCTAAACATGTGGGAGCTGGGGTGGTGTTTAACAGAGCATATATTTGAGGTGCAATTGCTGCTTAATAGGTTAGATTAAGTGTTATTTAGATAAAGTGTCTTTTCTGTTATTTAAGAAATTTAAGTTGTACAGTGTTTCTTATTAAGTTGTTTAATGAAAAAGCACACATTTTAAGTTTAAATAAGCTTGTTTATTGTGTTGTGTGAGTTGTATTCCTTAACGCCTTTTATTTTAATATGCAAAAATCTAAAATTAATTGCAACAAAAGTAACTCTTGTACTAGAAAAGAAAGGCTAATCTTAATAGTATGAATAATATTCAAGAACTTGCATAATCGATGCCACAAAGATAGACAACTCTATTATCGAAGAAATCAGAAAACAGGTAAACCAGAGAAGGGCTGTTAATAGTGATTTTTTTTCATCATATTTTAGGGGGAAATGTCTATCCAGAAAAATTGTCAGCCTATGAATGTGGTTTCGATCCTTTCGGTGATGCTAGGTTTGAGCGAGTTCTTAAAAACTCTCATTTTATTGTTGGGGCTCTTAGGAGCTTCTTGTTCATCAACCACGTTGATTTTTCCTGCTTTTCCATTCATATGAGGATGTAGAAGGTTCTACTGGTTTCTCTTTCTCTAGAGTGAAAGACAACAACTCGGTTTAGTTCCTTAGGTCTTTGTACAAGCCAATAGATGGAGTGCGTCGCTGTGGTATGATGATCCATAACATTCACCAAAGGAAGAAGAGGCAGTTGATTGTGGCCGTGATGGAGGGAGTTGGGTTGGGTTGCTCTACCATCCAAGATTATTTATTTATAAATAAAAAATTAAAACAAAAAATCAACCGTACTTGGGGCAATGGGTTCCTTGGGATCTTCCTCGATCAGCAAGGGTGGTGGATTCTCGACATCATAGCTGGAGGGGGTCCCATCCTCTCCAACATTTGGAAGAAAACATCAGAAATATTAGCTTCTAAAAAAGTTCAAGATTAAATGAGAAATGGACATAAGTCCAACAAAAATTGAGTTACCTTAGGTGAAGGAAAGTGGCCTCTTCTCACCCCGACTAGGACTAGAGTTGGCACTCACGTCCTTAGCTGCAAGAGGTGGAGATGTTAGTGGACTAATAGTCAAGAGTAGCATATATAAAAAAGGTGACAACTAAAAGTTTACCTTGCTTAAAACTATAGTAAGGGGAAGAACAAGCACGACCTTAGAAGATTCTCTCTATATGGACCTCAGAGGGCTGGAAAAACCAAGTAGTTGACATTTTCTCTTTCCAAGCCTTGAAGAATTCAGTGAAAACGAATTTGGGATCTCGGGTTTGGAAGTTAAAATTTAATCAACTCACGATTAAAGTCCCCAAAGGAGCTCACCTCTCTTTTTTCCTTGAAGGATACCTTCCAAGAAGAAAAGTGGTTGAGGGACTTAACCATGGGCTATGTTGCACTAATATGCCACTTGTTTATGGAGATTAGAATGAAGTTATGTGTTTTGTTAATGTTTTGAACTTATTATTGATAAAATATCAATTTTCAAATTTTCTATTTATATTATTTTTAAATATATATAGATTATTTTAATCGCCGTATCGGTGCCGTACCAGTATCCTACTTTTTGGAGATTTGTCATATCGGCATATCGTATAGTATCATATCGCCGTATCTGTATCCGTATCGGTGCAACATATATCGTGAGGAATGAAACTCATCTGACGACCAACGACATCAGGATAATAAGCCCTGCAACCACATGGGTAATGGTTACCTTTGTTCATCGCAAGGATGTAAGGAAGATCTCAACTGATTAGGATGTTTGCCCAAAGCTTTCGTCGTTTTTCTTTAGTCTCCAAAGTAGGGGTGTTGGCAAGGTCCAAGGCCAAGTAATCCAGGTAACGATGATCTAAGCACATGGATAAGTTGCTAGATGACCTCTCGAAGCATCCGTAGAAAAATCGAAAATAATCTTCAACTTGATGCTTTAGGTAAAGGGAGATAGGGATCGAATTTGCCTAAAAGTGAGTCACCTCAAAATGTGACGTTGGCTACACAAACTAAATAAACTAGAGAATTTAAACTAATAATAACAAAAAAAAAAAAAAAAAAAAAAAAAAAAAGCCAAAACCAAAGGCATGAAGCATTGTATGACATAGGGTCGGGCAAAACAATCTTATGAAGTCATCTATAAAGGTAAGCCAAGAAGATGAGACCCAAGGCAACTACTTGACAGTCTACAAGAGCCTCAGCCAAAGGTTGAACTTCTTTGGTGGTTTGGCCACACTTTAAGTAAGTCAAGCACTTGAATAGCCACATCTGAAGAAAGGCCAAATGCTCTGTGTATGCTACATCATTTATTGAACCTCTTGGAGCTTTGGAGGATGACCTGGTATAGGCAAAGTGGGTTTTGATCCAGTTGGTGCAATTTTTGTTGCCCTTGGTATAGTTTGGGCTCAAAATGGGTTCTAGAAGGTCAGCTGTTGAGTAAACCATAACATGTGGATGAAGGCCGGTGATTGCGGCTAGATCAAGTAGAGTGGGGGTCATCATGCCAAACCGAAGCCTCGTTTAATTGGTGGAGGATGACCAAAAGCACAAGCTTGCGATGATGATGAGCGATCACAAGCAAAACTCCCGGAGGCACAAAGACTATCGTAGATCCTGCTTTTTCACCAAGAAGTCTTTAATTTTGGTTCCAAAGTTGTGTACCAATCATACCAAACCATTTTAGGACCCCATTAGGTTGGGTTTCTTGGCTTTGGACTTTTTCCCAACAACAAGGTCAACCTTAGAACGTCTACATGGTCAATCTTTGAAAGGTCAAATACTTTCCCCAAGTCGATTTCCATTGGAACTCCATGGTGGTAAGGTAGAGGATCATCACCGTGTTCGGCCCAAATCTTCACCATTTCATCTTGAGGCTAAATGGAGTACAAAGGACCAAGAACATATCTTGGGATGTCATCGTTAAGTTTGATGGCATAAGCTTCTTCGGGTTTTATTTCACTTACAGTCATGGCCTTCCTCAACTTGGTCAAATGAGAGATGACGGACTTCAACTTTGGATCCATCCTACAAACCCAAGTACTATTTGAATTAAGAAAAATAGTGGCAAAAAAACAAAATTTGCCAAGAACATGAAGAACATTCAATTTTTCAAAAGTTTTGTAAATTAATATTTAAGATCCTTCTTTTCAAACTAAATGCTTTGTACTTCCACATTTCGCCACCAACATGAAAATTTTCTAAATTCGCCACTACTTAGTAGCACCACTAAAAATTGTTCTAATATATTAATTTTATCTCCTAAATCTCTCTCTCTCTGTCTCTCTCTCTCTCTGTCTCTCTCTCTCTCAGTTGGCGTCTCCAAATCAACAGTTTTGTAAATTTCATAATGCCTTAAGATATGCAGATTTGTCTTTCTCTTTGAGAATCTATGGCCAAATCTTGCCTCTTTCGTTCACCATGAGATCATTGAAATCGACAAGGATTAATCGAAATCGACAAGGATTAATCGAAACCGACCAAAATTGATCGAAACCAAAACCGAAATATTTGGTAACCGACCTTCTGCAATTCAATAACAGTTCCCGTTTTATTTTGACCATCATTGGTCAATGGGTAATTTAAATATATTGGTTCGGTTACCGAACCTAGCCCTAACTTACACCTGCATCGAACTGAGGTAATACTCTACTGAACTGATTATAAGGGTGGTGGTCGGGGGTCCTCAATCTACGAGTTTTTTTATTATGAATTTTTTATCTACCTCCATCTACGAGTAATAGCAACTTTAATGGTTGCATATATATGAGGATGAATTAGATCCAAGTTCACCCAAAAATCCTCCAATGGGGAGATGCAAAGGGGATGGGAATATGCATATTCCCCGGAAGTTGCAAAAAAGAAAATGCATAATTACGACTAATTTTGCATCCGAGCTTGTGGGCCTCGCTTAATAGTGCAAGAGAAGAGAAGAGTTAATAAAAGCTGGGCAATGGCACAACACACATGTAGTGATGTAGTTGCAGACAAAGCCAAATGCATGGGACCCATTGGAGGCTGAGTGGGCCTCTGACATCAGCTTGTTTAAGTGGCTCTTCAACGACCCCTTTGAATCCCCAACATGTATTTATCCAATTGTTGTAGCTCATTCAATTTCACAATAAAAAACCTAGATTTCTTCTCGCTTTGCCTCAATTCTAACGGCAATATAGATCAAATGGCTCATATTTCTTTTTCCAAAGCCAACTGCTGCCATTATTTCTGAACCATTCCAATGGCTAGCCCAAAATTAATGTTACAATAACAAAAAATAATCCAATGGTCCTAAAAGAAAAATATATAAATAGTAAATTTAGCTTAACCCATTCAAAGTCATTTTTCCTCAACTACAACCTTTCTCTTTATTTTTGTTTGAATAAAATTATTATTTTTTAAATAAAACCCAATGACTAGGATCTTACTCGGCAAGTTACCTAATCAAGCACAAAATCAAATTTATTGTTCTTTTTCAATTCCTAAAATACCCCAAACTAAGCCATTATTGCATTTTGTATATTAATATAGGAACTAATATAGAAACAAATTTTAATTGGATTGTAACTAATGACACACGTTGAATTTGAAAAGATCTCCAAACATATGTAGAAATTAATTTGGAAACTTTTTTTTTTTAAATTAAACAATAAATTCATTTTTAACATACCTAATAGGTTTATTTAATAAATAAAAATATTATTTTAATTTATTTATGAAGTATGCGTGATTAATTATATATATTATATTATTGTTCTATAAATATAATAGCATATATACATTTTTATTTTAAAAAAAAATAGTGTACCTATTATGAACACATTTTGGATATAATTTACCTGATAATTGACTATTATGCAATTGTAAATGGGCATGGGCTACCGCAAAGTGCGAATGGATGAAGTTGCCTTTGTGCCTGAGTTCAAGAACTAAGCCCCAAGAGTGCTTCGAAAGGTTTGTGGAGCCTTAGGAAGCACTTCACTTCCTTTCACCAACAAGGCATTCAACTGTGTCATATTAGTATTATAGCTTGGCCTGAGTAGCTTGTAGCATGGGAGATAAGCCTCCATGAGTTTAGCAATATAGAGAGAAATATTGAATTTCTTATGGGAAACAGAGCTTCAGAGCAAGGGAATAGGGAAATTTGGCGAGATTTTGATGAGGGAAGAAAGGGAGATATGGAGATAAAAGGATGGGTGGCTTAAGTAAATCTTCCAGCAGCTTGACGAATGCTTGATCGTGCTTTTTAGATGGTTGTTTTGCTGGGTAGGAAGTGCCTTCTTTTATAGGCACTAGAACCCCCAATTTTATCAAGTCTTCTCCTCTATTTTTATTCACTTTCTTCCATTCAATCCTCTTTGGTGAAATCTCCCCAACCCAAGCACATAGGAACGGAGCTTTTTATGGTTCCAAGACTTTCCTACGGCTAGACTTCTTCATCTGGGTAAGGCACTTCTTGCTTTTCTTTCTTGTTTTCCCACCAGAACTTGCAGAGGAAAGAATGGGTAAGGGTGCTGGTCCAAAAGGTGATTGACTTCCATCAGTATATGGGTTTACTTGGATTTTACGATGGTTTGACTTCAATTTGGTTTTAAGAAGGATGTGGGATATTTTCTAAGGTGCTAAGCCTGAGTTTTGGTTTTCCCAAGCAACCCAAAACTTCCACTTCTTGGACCATCAATAGGCCTCATGAACACTCGTGCCAAAATAAAGGTTTTTTCGCTCGGCATTGCGTGTTATTTGGCATGTTTGTGCTCGAGCTTTTCCTGTATTGTAATGGGCTATGGCCGGGCTAAGTGGTGCTTGATGGGACAATAAGCGCGGGTTCGTTGGACCAGTACATTTTACAAGCTTGTTAAGACCATCTTGCGTGGTGGGTTGTGTATTTGCTTGGCACGACACGTGGACCATAACTTGTGCAAGTGCACACAACGAATTCTTGCTTACTCTGGTCGTTCCTTTCTCTGTTAAGTGTTGTATTGGGCTAGAAAAATATTTGGGCCTAGCCTTGGATTTTTTGGGCCTCAACAGCAATAATATAACTAGTAATTTACCTATTATGAGTATATTGTAGGTATATTAAAGCCAACACTTTTTTTCTATAAGTATTATACCTACTACAATATATATTATACATATACATCTATATCATTGGAGGATATTAGGTCATGTTTAAATATAATTGGAGGATATTAGGTATATTAAAATTCATTTATTTGAGCTATAGGAGGTTAAGAGAGAATATTTGAAGTAATTTGTTTGTAGCCCATTATTTATGGGAGTGGAAACATAAATTATGAGAACATGTTAAAAATAAATAAATAAATATAATTATTCATACTACATATTAATTATTTGTTAATTATGAATTTTTCTTATTTAAATATTTATTGTGAAGAATTATATGTTAATAAATCTTAAACTTAGTATGAGATTATCCCTTTAGTTGAAAGATGATACCATTCTTGTTTTCCACATGTAGAGACTTAGAATTGGTTTTAATTAAATCATCATTGCCATGCCACTTTGCATGCTAGTAACAAGTAGTGTTGTGATATCATTGGCCAAAGGTGGATGACTCACATTATTCCCTTACTTTTCAATCTTATCTTTTGGTGGTGTTGTGATATCATTGGCCAAAGGGGGATGAGTCACATTATTCCCTTACTCTTCTATTTTATCTTTTGGTGGTTTAAAATATTGTATATATAAATATTATTTGGTTGCATCTGTAGCCTCTCTTATAAGTATCATGCTTCCTTACTTCAATCATTCATTCTAATCATTTAAAATAGATTTCTACCATGAAGTAGTGTTAGAGATAGAGAGAGAGAGAGAGAGAGAGAGAGAGAGAGAGAGAGAGAGATAAGGAAGAAAAAGAAACAAGATGAAGAGCGTGTGTGTTTGTCTTGCAATATTTCATACTTATTATGGTAAGTGGGTTATGTAATATGTTCTAAAAGTTCTTATTTTGTGATAAATATGAAATTCATGGGTTTATTCTATTTACAAACCTCTCTCTATTTTCAAGTCAAACATGTCTAATTTGTGCAATATTTCACACAATATATATTAGGGTAAACTATAGTAAACCCCCCAACCTATAGGGTCATTTACGAGTGCATACCCGATTTTGGGGGCATCTACGAGTACATACTCAACGTCGCGAAAAACCTACAATTTGCCCTCACCGTTAGTGAGATCGTCAGAAAATCTGTTATCTGCTTACGTGGCATTTGTGAGACCCATTTTTAAATTAACATGGGGTTCCACATTGACAAAAAACTAATAAAAAATTTAATTTTCACATTATTTAAAAAAAATAAACATATTAAATTAAAAATTAAAAAAATAAAATTAAAAACCTTACTCTCACCCACCCATCTCACCCCTCTCTCCCCCAATTTCTACCCTCGTTCCTCCCAATCCCCCCCCCCAAGATTTCTTCCCCCTACCCAGATTTCTTCTCCCACCCAATTTCTTCAACCCCATGTAACTCTGGGTGCTTGGAA